TTGGAATAAAAAGTTTCAAACCAGAGAGCCAGAGAAAAACATTAAAGAGGCCACTGAAAGTGTAACTGTATGACTTATAATTTTTTTAATGTCACCTTAGTTTGCACTGTTTATAAGAAGATGAGAGCAATAAAATATCTTGGGAGAAGGGGGGAAAGTATATGCGCCAAGGTCTAAGCTTGGGAGATGGACACCTCTAGGTAGGTATACTACAGTTAGTAATTTCATGATAGCTCAATAAGTAATAGTAAGTAAGCATCAGGATAATAAGTGGAATTCATATATTGGCCGAGGGAATAACGTGTGTGCCCAGCACCACGCATTGCCTGGCAATCCGAATAGAAGATTCGTGTTCTGATGCTAAGGGGGAATTTTAACTCTGGCATTAATCACCTGCCCTCACTCCTTGGATCCAGAAATCCGAAAGGCAAGGAAGGGGAAGACCAAAAAAAGTAGAAATCATAGTTAAAATGTCTTAAACTCAAATGATTTATTAATTTATATAAATATGATGTTTAAATATGTTGCTACATAAACATAAGCAAGATATGTTATGTACGATACCACCTGACTTTATACCTCCTTAAAATAAATTTAGACCATAAAAATTGATATATTTTACTGTTTTTGGGTATCCAGTCTCATATTCAGATAAGATAAGATAATATAAATGGAATCAGAGGAAACAGTAAAAGGTAGAAATAAAATTTCAGTATTGACTTGTACTGAAATTCAATATTTTTTTTCACCGTTTATTTATTATTTAATACAAAATACCGCTAGTTGTATTATTTAGATATAATAATTTCTGTAAAGCTAAAACTATATTTTTATATTATTATTTTCAAATTTGGTAAAAAGTTACTATGAATTCCAAGGCATTTTACAAGTATTCCGTAATTTTGTTCATTATTTTTTATTAAAAATCCACATGATGGCTAATGTTTTAGGGCAACCATCCCCATTTTAAGAATCAGTTTTCTTGTCAGTTTAAATGTAAAGGTAATACTTCTTCTTGTCATTGAAACATTGATTCACTGCTACATTAAAAATAACAGAAAGTTCCTACGCTTAGCTCTGAGCTAATCGATGGCATCGTTTCGCTCAATTTAAAAACGAATCTGATGCCATTGATGAGCTTAGCGCTGCGTTTAGGAACTTGCCCATATTTTGACTGTTAGCACTCTATATCAGTGGAGTTTATAGGTTAAAGCACAAGATGTTAGCTAACAGTCAAGATATATATTTTTTAATGTAGCAATGACTCAATGTTTCAATGACGAGAAGATATTGTCATAGTATTTACTTACACATTGACAAGAAAACAAAGTTTCTGAATATAGGGATGGCTAACCCAAAATGTTAGCCATCATACGGATTGTTAATAAGTTAATGTAGAGAGAAAAACCAGAATTGTAAATGCAACAATTTTTTAACTCGGAGCTAAATCACCTCGAATAAGACTTAAAAGTTTTTTTATAAACACTAATCCATTTAAATATGTATAAAAAATAATCTTGTACTAATTTAAATCATAATCTTAAACTGTAACCAATGGAAAATAAAAAGAACATGTTATTACATTATAATAAAACCAAACAGTACCATAAAAGCAACAGTTTCTTACCACTAAGATCATAATCTTAAGTCTATTTATTAAATTTAAACAAATAACATCATTAACATTTAATTTAAAATTAATTAGAAGCAGTGCAGTGGATTACCAGAAGCCTTTTAAAAAAAAATGGTGGATTGTAACAGAGATTGCCTCCAAATCTCAAGAATACTGCTACTACAATTTAATCATATTAAATTTAACTATGCATTACAACTTACTTATATAAATAAATACCTGCCAATTATCTATTATGAATAATTTATTAGTTATTAAGAATTAGTTACATATTAGATTATTTCAAATCAGAAATTAAAGAATTGCTATATAAAAAAATTCTAAGTGAAAAGATTAAAGTACCAACCACAGAATAATGAATCGTGAAAAGGGAATTAATTTTAAAAAAAATATTTTATTTGATTGTAAAACTTAATAATAGGTACTTAAATGAATAAAAATTTATTATTTAATTGCTATATTTTTCAAAATTATTAGAATTATTACTAATTTCATTATAATTATATTTCTTAAATGAAAAATGAACTTGTTCAAAATTAATGCGATTATAATTATTCATAATTAAGAAAAATAGTTTTAAGTAAAATCTTGGAAAAAAATATTTCATTTTTCTAGGAATTGTATTGCAGCGTGAACATTGTTATATGTAATTAGATTACCAATCTGGCGGCAATGAGGATGTTTGAAACGTCTTTTTCAAACTCAATAAGCTTTGTTACGTTATTTTTTCATGCTGTTGAATTAGAAAGATTTTTATTTCTTGAATACAGCATCTATTTTTATTAGCATGAATATTAAAACCTTTTAGTGACTGGTGAAGGTTTGATTCATTAAATAAAAGTACATTTAATTAATTAATGTATATAAAATAAACTTTTATATTTAACACAATTTAGCTTTTTTAAGAAGTGTGTTGAATAACTTTAAAATATTGTTGTACAGTAATCACACATATTGGTTTACACCACTAGTGGATCTAGGATTTAATTTTTTTGGGGGGCTTCAGCCCGAAAGATTTTTTTTCATAAAAATAATGATAATTACTTTGGAAAAAAAAAGAAACTAACTACCTATTTGATATGGTGTTTAAGTGATTCCTAAAGTCCTTTTAAATGTAATTACACGAACAATAATATTTTAAGAGATAATTCTTTTTCCATAAAACATGGTTATATTTTACAATTTTTGAGGGGGGAAGGGGCTTCAGCCCCAAAGCCCTCCCCTCCGCAGATTTCTTAAGTATTGTAGTTCGTGTAATTGCATTTAATAAGACTTCAAGAATCACTTAAACACCATGTCATATAGGTAGTTAGTTTCTTTCTTATTTCTTCCAAAGTAATTATCGTTATATATATGAAAAAAAAAGCTTTTGGCCTGAAGCCTCCCCCCTCCCAAAATTAAATCCTCGATCCGCTAGTGGTTTTATATACCAAAACAATTAACTTTTTTTAAAAAAATAATAAATATTGGTTTGAAATATTAAACGTTCAGTTTCTTATTTTTAAATAATCAGGTACCCAATATTAAAAAATGAGGCATTATTAGTTCAAATATTTTTATTTTTGAGGTAGTAAGAGACCGTTGTTGGATTAGTCTTCTTGAGCTTTTCATTACAGCCGACAGAGTGTAGTAACAAGCAGGGGGCTAGCTCTATCTAGCGACAAACATATCAACTATTAAAATGAGATCTTTGACACCCACTTAATAAGAAATTTTCCTTACCAAAATAATCATTGAGAAAAAAATACAGCTGTTAAAAATATATTCAATTCTCTTTTTGATTTAGGTGCATTCTATAAGAAATCAACTTCCTTCTTTAGTCCTTTATTAAATTTATACCATTGATTAATTAGAAAAATGGACTAAGTATCAATAAGAGTTGTTTATAAATAGAATTGCTTCAAAGAGGTTTGTTTTAAATTATTTATTCTTTCTAATATCTGTGATTTAATCAATAAATTAACTAAAAATAATAAACTCTGAAAATTATCCTTTCTTATATAACAGATACTTGACAATAGCATTAATGAGTGACGTGAAGATATCTTTATTCCATATCAATTAAAAAATAATTTAAAACTTTTTAAGACAAGGTCAGCAAATATGGATTAAAACACACAACCTCTCGGACTTAAGTAAATACTATACAGACAAACTCGCACCGAAATATGAAAAAGGTATAGTCAAAGAGTTTTGTCTGATCTGGTGTACGAGGTGGTCGATGAGACTGGAAGATCATTTGGAAACAGACACATCCAGGAGTTGAAAGTCGATCACCAGAGTGTAAACACTGCAGAAGAATGCCCTTCCCCATCCCCAGGAATTGAGATTGTCACAGTTGACAAAATGATTAAAAAATAAGAATTAAAAAAAAAAACAGGTCTAGGAATTATTTTATTTTTTTAGAGGTTATACAGTTCGTAGAGTTATGAAATAGATCGAAAACGATCTTTGATTATTTTATGAGAAATTGTGTTAATTATGGAACTGTTATCAATTATTTAACATCATCTGACAATAAGAAATAGTCTGTAAGAAAGAACTCACCCCCTCCACTAGGTAAGCCTTTATTAATTATAATTATAATTTTATCATTCCGTTTAAAGAAACGTTACAACAGCTCTTAAGTATAAGAGCATGTCTTCGGTATATCGAGGCGGTCTCATGTGTCCCACCTTTACGACGAGTTAAAGTGGCTCTTCCCTTCTTTCCACAGACAATATTTCTTTGGATCTTTCCTATTCCAAACGCTCAACACCCGACACCCTTCCTACATCTACAGTCTCCTACAGTTTAAACCCATGGTCCACTCCCAGAAAACAAGATCCCGTGTTTCCGACCTTCATATCCCTTTCCATAGAACTAAGACGTTTGAATATTCCTTTATAGCCCGATCCACTGCCTTCTGAAATCTGCCTCTTCCTTGTCCTCATTTAAATATCATCTTTACCAATTTCTTCTCACATTCCAAACAGATTTTGACTGAGATGAATAGTTGTTAAAATTGATAAGTTTTAATTTTAAAAACCAACCCATGTTTATTTATTTTGTTCTCTTTTCATTTAAATAATGTTTTTTTTATTTTTTTAAAATGGTATTATTTTTACTTATTTTAATTTAATTTTACTGAAGATACTATATTATTCTTTAATATTGAATAATGTAATTTTTGGCCAGATGTAGTTTTTATTTTTTTGTTCATATCTGTTATTCATAAGGGACCTTGTCCCAGAATAAAGTTCACTTCCTAGCTATCTATCTATCTATAACAGCGTACATAAAAATATATATTTTTTTCTAGTATAGTTTATATAAATATTAATAATAAAAGAGGCAATGAGGAATAAATAATAATATAATATGATGGTGGCGGTATCAGATATTTATTAAATAACAGGTATAGTACACATCTGTCTTGATAGTCAAATCACAGAGGTTTTACAAACCATCATTATCTGCATTTTTTTATTTTCTTTCTAAAAAGGAAGTTAGTAATGATTATTACAAAGAAAAAAAAAATTAGTAAACATCTTTTGTAAATTTATTTCTTTAACAACTTAAAAGTAACATTACGCTCATGAAAAACTAAGTGAGGCCAATAGAAATGATTGCCATATTGATTTTTATTTTTTGCAAACTAAGCGAAAAATCTTACTCCCCCATAAGTATAACAGGCAGCTGAAGTCAAACATATTAAATAACTGAAAACTTCTTTGTTTGTAATTTTTTCTAAATAAAAGATAATATACATTTAAATTAAAGTAAGTACTGAGTATCACATCTGCGTGAATGGAAGAAGTAAATGAACAACTAGAATTAATAAAAGAAAAAAAATTATATAAATTATCAGTTCTGAATTTTTAGGTACCTTTGTGCTTTTTTATTTTTTGTTTTTAAATTGCCTTAATTGTTCATTTTTATAAAATGTAAGGACTTGGGGCCGCAAATTCAAGACAAGGGATAAAGGTACGTTAATATTCTTGATAAAGTAATTTCTCTTATAAAAGAGTTCCACTTACTTGTTCCATATTTAATGTAACATTATTTACACGCTACAAGAACATACATTATATCACAATAACATAAAAAAAAGAAAAAAAAGGAGTTTAATGCTTAAATGTGTTTTTGTTTTTATTTTTTTGTTATTTTGTGCACGACGGATCTACGCGCGCAGGAGTATTAAGAAGTTAGTGTCACACATGTAAGCTTTTTTTTTTTTTTTTTTTAAATTGTTCATCATACTTTAATAATAATAATAATAAGATATTTATATATAGTTTTTTGTACTCTTAAAGTTTCTAGTTCCATTCTTTCTGTCATTCCTTTTCAAGACACTTTTTTTAATTTTATGATTAATTTTTTTTTTTCAAATCGTGGTATTTAACTTAAGCTGAACACTCAAACATGAAAACATGTCAAAACTGTTTTTAAAAAAATAAAAAAATAATTTTTAAATCTTGTACATAGGCAAAGAAAACTGAATGACATTTTTCTTAAATAATACAGGTTGAATGATTTCTCTTTCTTATTTTTTTTTAACAACAAAAAAGTTTTTTATTCTTAATTAACAGAAATATTCTCCTTTTTTTTTTTCATAAGATAAATTAACAATACATTTGTGGAAAGAAAAAAAGTTCCATTTGTAGTTCCTTGACCAGCACTTTGACTATACTAAAATAATTAAGTCAGGTAAAGCTATACGAAACAATCAAAACTGTATTTAAAGCTTAAATTGACATCGTCATAAAAATATTAACAAGCAATTCTACACGAGAAATTCTCTCAAACTAAGGTTTTTTTTTTGGTTTTTTGTTTGTTTTTTTTTTTTGTTCTTTTCCCCCATAAAATATTCATCGGAATTTCCTCTCGGTATAAAAAAATAATATTTTCAAACATTTTACATAAATCAGTCTTTAAGAAATAAAAGAGAGGAATTATGCAGTTTTAATAATCACAAATCTTGACTTGGAAGAATTTATGGAGTTTTCAAAACAAACTAAAATCATTGTCTGTCAAAAAGAAATAATTAAAAAAAAAATTAAAGAGACTTTTTTTTTTTTCTATAAACGTAATAACCTAAAGATATTTTGTTATGTATAATATATACATACAAAAAGCACAATCAAGTGCAAATCACTTTTACATAAGAATCTTAATTAATTATGAGATCTTTCTTTACAAATGGAACTTTCGATTTCCTAAGGTTTTTTTTTCTTCTACATTTTATTTTAAAGTTACACTTATTAAATAACAATGAGAAGCATTGAGTAGCTGGACAAGGAACTCATTTTGAAAACATTCAGGAGGAGGTTTTCAAAACTGAGCAGTGCAGCCTCAAATGGAAAAAAAAACAAAAACAAAATAATAATATTGGGAAGCAAGTAATCTTAACAATAATACATAAGTTAACATATAAAAAAATAATAGGCCCCAACTTTTCACTAATAGTTTAGGAGAAGAGAGGCAGCGATATGACTAGACGCGTTAGATGGCGATGGCACACACGAGGAAGGCATCAAAGGTATCGAGTCTGCTCGTTCTCAAAAATATACCCTCCAAAAAACATAATGCAGCGTGCCAGAAAAAACAAACAAAACACTAAGTATTCCTATCATAGAAACAAAAAAAAATTTAAAGACAAAAACAAAATTTATCTCACTCATTTTTTACATGTGTGTCGTCCCCGATACTAAAAAAAAAAAGTAGAAGAAAAATTGTGGGGAATTAAAAAAAAAAAAGTACATAACAAATGTCGCTGAACCATTGGCAGGCAATATTAATTGCGTAACAAAACAAATTATCAACTCGACTCGGAGGGGTAGAACGAAGGGGCTGAATCAAAACAAAACTTGTAACGTAGAGTTTCATGACAGTACTTCTCCCACCTTCTAAGTAATCTGGAAAAAAAAAACAAAAAAAAAACAAAACAATTAATACAGAAAATAAATAAATTTTTAAAAAATACAGAAATAATTCTATCTAATAATCTAATAACCTTTTCCATTTTAAGTGACAAAATGCACTAGCATAACAAATTCAACATTGTAAAAGCCTGTGAGAACAAAAACTAAAAATTTTCATGAGACAAAAAACACTAGATAATTTCTGTCCTGTGAGCATTATATTTTCGGTTAAATTTTTTTTACAGACCTAAGACAAAGCTGTAATGCTCTATGTAACTTTTTTGATCGTATTTCTGTCAAATAATCTTTTAGAGCCATTATTACTAGCTAATAGAATTTTACTTAATTTGAAAAACAGGTATTAGGTAAAAGCAATCAAATTTATTGTAATAACACCTATATCTTTGTAAATAATGATGAAATCATGACAAAAACAAAGTCATTTTCCAAAATGAAGAGAAACGATACTTTTGTAAAACATTTCACTGGAAAGGGAGTAATTGATTGGTTATTCACTTTTTTTCTCCCACGGTAGGGGATGGCTCAAACAGAATGCATACGTCCCATTTTGGAGTAATATATGAAAGTTTCATTTTTAACATACTCTACTTCATATGGACATAGTTTGATTCACAAAAGCTTGGTAAGTTCTGGATAACCTGCTGATGTATAGATCGTTTCTGAGCTTCTTGCCGTTTCGAAGATTCAATAGTTTGAAAAGATGAAACTAGAGTTCTTTTTTCGTCTTGTATTAAAGTTTCCAATTAATGAAATCAATTCTTTGTCTCTTACTATTTGGAAATCGTCGGCATTTTAGCTTTTTCCAGTGAAGCTTATTTTGCAGTTAGCAGGAGGTTTCGATTGCTTTGAAGACCGTTCAATATTATATTCCCACTTACCAATATCTTCTTTGCTTCTTCTAGTTCCATGGCAAGCAGCGGAGGCCTCAGGGCAGGAGAACCCGGGCATCTGCCCAAAGGCGCTGGGCTACAAGTGCCCGCCATTCATTAGAAATTTTAAAAAATAATACAAAGCATATCAGAAAACATTTTAGCCTATTAATTTTGTTTGTTTTTTTTATTTGAAAAATAATACATTCTGCCGCATTGGAGGGCATTAATATTAGGGCTACATTAAACATTCACACAATATATACATACAAATGATAACATAGGTAAAAAAAAAAGAGGAAAGAAAAAAAATATATATAAAAGCTAAATGAAATTAAAATATATAAAACACATTCATACCTATATACAATATTTACATTCGCCCAGAGGACTCCGAGTCATGCTTTGTTCCCCAAATGAGGAAGCCAAAGCAGGACACGAGGAGATCCCAGTGCTTCTCTCCCAGCCACTGGTATTGCAAGCCAGTGGAGGCTGATGGAGGGCACTAGAGCAACAGACGCTCAGGACATGAATGGAGAATCTGGCCATTGCCAGTACTCTAATATAAATATTTACAAAATATCGCGGGGCCACTGCCTGAGCTACAGTCTATAGAAACGCAGGTTTTTCGGCCGCCATTTTGAAAGTTAAAGGCAGAGAATAATGTCGATGAAGGAAGATCATCCTGGGTGGCCTCTGATTTTATTTCAAAATTTGAAAAAAATCGGTCCAGTAGTTTCGGAGAAAATGCGTCGACGGCGGATGGAAAAAAAATTTTTTATTTGTTTTTCGAATTCTACGCGTCTTGAAACGTGAAACCTCAAATTTTGAGAGGGGGTTATGTTTTTGAATTTTTTGGTCGATCACAATGTTTCATTATTGAAAATAATAAACCAAAATTCCTTGAGTTTTCCCTGTTTTGAAAATTCTCTGACTTTTCCCGTTTTTCCAGTTCAGTCGCCACCCTGCATACTGGTACTCATAAAACCCCTCATCTGACGAGACTAATTGGTTGAAATTGGCAAAACTTCATTGGGTTGCAAAGCCTCATATAGTGGGAGAGCAATAGTCGTATGAGTAGTTTCTACACACATCATTGTTTTATAATAATAGCCGTTGTATTTTACCTAATAATTATAAATCTCAATAATCAATTAATTATACATTATGAGGTATATAATACTTACTAATAAAGTTATGCTTCTGTTGTCAAGTGCCCTTGTTTTGGTGTGTAAACAGAAGCATTCGGGTCAAGCGTAGATTCTGGAAGGATTCCACGTAACTTAAGCTGGCCTCCGACCACTGACGGTCCTAGGCCGAGCGGACTGAACTCAGATGGAGGCATCACCGCCAGCACCTGCGCCATCTTACCCTTCAGTTCTTCTATCTCTCTCTCCTTTGCCCTCATCATATCTGCAAACAGAAGGCGATTAATGTGTGATTGTATTAAATGATATATTGATTAATATGTTGATATTGTAGAATAAAAAATAATATAATTTTTACTAATTTCATTTAATAATAATAGCGAGATAAAGTGAATCCAGAATTCATTTCCAATGGTATCAAGAATAATGATGTAGAGATGGTTGACTGTTGATATAATATGAGAAGGATTGGGGGTGTGATCAAATAAATACTAAATTAAAATATATTAGTTATTTAATTTTTGCCGACGTTTCGACCCACTTTGCAGGTCGTCTTCAGGGCTACAAAAGATACAAAACATGTTGAAGATAAAAAATAAATATAAATAGATATAAAATAAGAAGAAGTTGTCAGATACAGAAATAAAAAGATGATATCAGAGATATAGTGGGTTACAATGTAGTTAAAATATTAAGTATTATATATGTAGAAGATACAAACAAATTGAAAATAAGTATGAATAAAAATAAAAATAAAGGAGAATATAGCATATAAGTTAAAAGTAAACAGATTTCGATAAAAGATAAGGAATAAGTGTATAACAAACTAATAGAGATTACATTAGTTAACTGTGGGTTAACAGATAAAAAAAATGAATGTTAACGAATAAATAGATTGAAAATTGAATAAGTATTGTTATAGTAAAGTTAAAATAAGAATAAGATAAAATAATAATGAAATATCAGTGGATAACAAGCTAGTGGAGGTTACATATGATTGTAGGTAAAACAGATAACGGGACTAAAGGTTAAGAAGTAAAGAAATTGAAAGATTAATAGGGTAACATTAGTGTAATATCGTTAGGATAGATTATTAAGTATAAATAACTCTATAAGAAAGCAATAATTTTAAAAGAGAACTTTAGAATGTTTATTTATTTGACCGCACCCCCCAATTAACTCCTTCTCATGGTATCAAGAATAGTTCTAAAGATTTAAAAATTTGGTACATACATCACACATGTTGACTTACCACTCTAATGTGAACAAAGATTAATTTGCACGTTTTTTATTTTATTCAAATTATCATATTGTAATAATATTCTCCAAATTATGAATCCCTAACCAATGAAATTCAGTGCAAATTTCTTCTATTTTGTTATTCTCAAGGGACTGTCCCAGAATAAAGTTATTTTCTATATATCTATCTATCTATCTAATGTGACAGAGCCAAATTAAAAAAACAAATATATCATCTTAAGCATTGAGTACTTGAAAGATTTCAGTGCTCGAACCACACCCTCTAGATCATCTACATGTTTGGGTTGAAACATTGGCCCAAATAAAAAATTAAATTTTTTTTTAAAAGACTGCGTCCTGAATATTTATCATCCATGATATTATTTAATAGTTCTTTATCTTATATATAAACATAAGCGATCTTTTTTTAAATTTTAAAATTATTATTTTGAAAAATCTAGGATAAACATAAACAAATTAGTGTCAATAACTGACTATTAATCTATATAAACGTTCCCTCAATTAAGGTTGGGGACTTTTACTTAATTGTCTAATGAGGTAATTAATTTTCTATATAATTAAGACAAAACTGATATTTTAAATTTGAATAACTAAAAAAGATTAAATTTTATATATATTTCAATATTTTTAATTTGTATCAATAGTGTTTAAAAATAGTTGAAGTATTTCTGGGTAAAGTGATCTACTAAAGAGTTTTCAAGGAGAAAAATATTGCCAAGTTTTATTAAAAATATTACAGCTGTTTCGGTGCTATAAACTATAGCAACAGACATTTTTCTCAATCCATTTCAAAATGAAAGGCTGAATGGCAATGAAACTTATATAAAACTCTATTAAATTTGTATGCAACATTTTATCAAAATTTCAAAGCAATCAGTGAAGAACTTTCGAAGATTAGCGGTTTTGAACAAACTATAATCACATTTTTATTTATATATACCGTTCCCAAAATTTTGTTATTGATAACACTAAAGCCCATCATCAATAAATACTGAATACAAATTTTAAATTAAAATACCAACAAAAAACAAAACAAATAGATTATATGATAGAGATATTGAAAAATATATACACAACATGTCATCTGATACAGATACAGATCGCTTTGAGAGAAATGGAGTGTGTTAATTTCAGGATAATCTACCATTTAACTTTTAAATAACAATGAAGATTTTTTAAATTAAATAAGAATAATGTTTGATTCTATATAACTCGGCATGAAAAAAATGAATCGTCCAGAAACACTTCATTTGTAATAAATATAATAAAAACTGAAATATGTATAATATAATAAATACTGATATATGTATAATGTAATAAATACTGAAATATACATATTATAATAAATACTTACTATTGCTAATTTCAACATGGCGTTTAGCCTCCCCGAGGGCCGAGAAGAGATCCATTTTTATTCTGGTCTCGGCACTCAAAGAGGTTTCCAGGTGTGAGTTCTTGTCCTGGAGTGCGGTGACGGCAGCCATTAAAACTTCAGAGCCAGCCTGGGTTTCTTTATATTGTAACAAGCTCTACAGAAAATGAAATAAAAATTAAGTTAATAATTGTGTTAAAGAAAAATCTGATAACAAAATTAAAATAAGAGCAGTTTTAAGTTTACAAATCAAACCCTTTTATAATTTTCAATTATTAATATACACACACACACATATATATACACACACATACATATCATGCAATATAAAATAAATACAAACAAAAACTCTTAATAAAACAAACATTAACCGAATCAATACCCTAATGACAAAAACACTATTAATTACCATTCAATTGATAACAGATGGTATCATTTCAGAAATAGAGTACATTTTGGCTACAGATAATAAAAATAAACATATATGATTCTCTTTTTTTTATTTGTTACAATAAATTAGGCCATTTTTCACCAACATTTTATTATTACGCATCAATTTGACATTTTGACCATACTAAGGATCATTTTCAAAACTTGACGAGTCCTCCTAATATGTTCATCATTAATGTTCTAATTAATATGTTCAGTGAACATTAACTTGTCATGCTATATAGGGGCTTCGCCCACGTCATTTCTGGAGGGACTGAAAAACTTCAAGACACCAAAAGTAAGAAAAATGAACAGAAAAAAAGATATATGATTCTCTTTCACGATACTGTCTATATTGAGCATGTTCTCTACATTAATATAAGGAGGTGAATCGGATATATATTGCTGCAGGTATCTCTCTCGATGTACTTTGGATGATGGACACTGGAGAAAAAAATGGTCAAGGCTGTTATATATATTGTTTACAGACACTGCAGATTTCTTCATCTTGTTTATTGTAAAATTTATTTTGCTGACATTTACTTATGTTGTGTGGGTTCGAGATTCTTAAACGGCTGATAACTCGCGTTTTGTGTAAACAAGTATTAAAAATTAAATACTCTCCAGGAGAAAAATCTAGACAGCTGAGAGTTCTGTAGACTGAGTTATTTTTTAATTGTGGGTAAATGGTTGACTGTCGTGAATAATGAAGAGAAGAATAGTTGGGGTGATCAGTCAAATAAGTTATTTTTTAATTTAGAGCTCTATTGATGTCTCAAGACAGAAAATGATTTCCTATTTTTTCTATAATGGTCATTTTCTGGTTTTGCATTCCCGTATATGATTCAAGATTTAAAAGTCATATCTGGACTGCTCTGATCTGACTGCTTCTGAAGCAGTGAAGCTGTTGGCAGTACAGTGGTTTTCTAAAATATAGTTAGTTTTTGTCAAAAAGGGACCTTGAAACAAGCTAGATCACTTTATAATTTACATAATACTATTGAATATGCTGGATTCGCTTGCAATACCACAGACCATAATCAGCAACAAAAATTAATTGAATGGCGGTTGGTGTCGTAGACAGTACCAGATACCTATTTAAATATGATACCTAACGTTTAAATATGATGGTGATGGGAAAAATTATATAATCGATTCATAATTATTTTTCTTTACTAACCCATTCCATAGATCTATGCTTTATTAACGATGTTATAAGTAACTAGAAAAAATAATAATAACCATGATAAAGCAAAGCATCAAATAAAATTTTAATAGTAAGAGCAAAATATTCGGAGATAAATTATTAAAAAAAAAAAAGAACAAACCTGAAGCTCTCGGTCGACCTGTGCAGCTTTCTCTTCTTTCATTTTCATTTCTCGGCGCAGTGCTTTGAGCTCTGCCTCCAATTCCCGCCTTTTAATCCTGCAAGATTCGCTGCACGTTGGTGTGGGTGGCGGCGCAGGAGTCGCTGCTGCTCGTGCTTTAGCAGCTTTTAGAGCAGACTCTGCTGCTGCTCTTCCTCGCCTTTCTTCAGCCAAACGCTTTTCAAGGTTTGCCTTTTCTGAAGAACGCAGCGAGTTCAGGCTTGTGACCCTGAAAATGAAAAAAACAGTTAAATATAATTTTTTTTTTTTAACTTAAATTTCAATAAATTTAACCATCTATATTGTAATGTCAACATTACATGGTATATAAATAGTGGCGCGAAAGTGGCAAGAACATGAACTACAGGAAAGAAGTGGGGGAAGCAAGCTCATGTGACAGAGACAGCGACGGGCCGCCAAGAGGGAAGGTGCCAGCCAGCAAGTGGAGAAATTAGGAAAAGGAGTCTTAGCCGGTTCGAGTGTTGACAGAGGCCACTAGTGAAGATTATTTTATGTTGGAAGAAAGAATATAGCAGAAATTAATTAAGTGGTACAGAAACATTAAGTGGACAATCGTAAGTAAGAAGAGATTATTTCGCTGGCAAGCGTAAACATTTGGGTGAGTGCTAACAATGCCATTTATGTTGACAGAGGGATAGAACCAAAAGTTTAGACCGGGACAAATTATTTAATAAAATATTTTAAATTATAAATAAGTGTAGTAGTAATTAATGAATTAGTGTACATTGTCTTTATAAATAGGAATGAGTGTTCAGGTGTCAGAACCCAACCTGAGATGTTATATGTGTTAAAATAAATAATATATTCAAAAAGTAAACTCGTTTGTTTGTTTATGTTGACAAAGGGAACGTTACAATATATAAAATATACTTCATTGCATTTATAAAGATTTATTATACCATAAAAAGGTTTTTTCTCTGAAGATAAAATTTTATGGTTTATTTGAATTCTCAGGATAATTTTGAGAAAAAAAAAATGGAATGTTTTATATTTGAACGATAAGATAATATATTAACTTACTTGGATTGAAGGTCTTGGTTAGCGTGGTGGAGCGTTGCCAGCTCCGCTCTAACCCTCTGCTCGCTGCTAACCGACGAGTTTAATTGAGATCTGAGATCACATTCGTTCTGCCTACTCGAAGACAGATCGTTTTTCAGTCTCTTTATTTCACATTCGAGTCTGAAAATCAAATTCAAATATAATATATCGACAAAATTAAAAATGAAATAAAAGTATCTCTTCAATAAACATACATAAAAAATTATGGCTAATTAATTAATTAATTTGTTTGTTCAATATTAATGGATTATTCAGTGACCTAATATTCTTGAGGTGACATGGATCGGTTCAAGGACAAATCCTTTTTTAATCCTTCAATCAAATTAACCTATCCATTAACTTATATTTAAAAAAAAAAAAAATCTGTACCACTACTACAACCTATGAAGAGTCTTTAATTCAATACTATTTAGGGAAAGCACTGTTTCTTAGTCAACAGTTGTAGTAAGGAGGTGATTTAATCATGATCACGTTCAACCGCCAGGTCTTCCCCCCATAATCAATTATTTAATTAAGGGTACCCACTTTATAGAGGCTGGGTGTGCCCAGGAGGGTTACCCTACCCCGGGGTCACCCGCGGTCAATGAAACAGAATAAATAACTTTTTAGTGCCCTACCGCTGAGCTACCCCACTCTCCTACTTATATTTAAGACTGTCAATAATGAAAATCCAAAGGAAAAAATATAATAATAATATTACCTGAGACAATATTCTTCCCGCTGCTGCTCGGCAGTAAGCGGTGGAGATTCACTTGCTTTGCTGTGATTTTTGCTCTGGTTTTTGCGGTTTTCTCGCTGGCTACCGCTCGAGCCTTTCTTTTTATTATTGCTTGGACATTTCTCTTTCTCTATTTCCAACTCATCGCTTTCTCTAATCAAACAAAATAAAAAAATATATATTTATATTAAATTAAAACATGAAGAAAATAGTTAAATATAACAAAACTCTATAAACGAAGGTAAAGAATAGGCATAGATATTCAAAATTATAGTTGATGGAACATAAATATTCTCAAGATGAAATTAATATAAGGTTCTAGCTGCCATCTGTTCTCAGAGAATGAAGAAATGGCTGAGCACATTTTCTATATGCTCTTGCCTTCTACATAACGCAACCGTATTTAAAGCAAGCTATAATTAAAGCTGAACATATTACTTGATCGAATACAAAAGAATTAATATGCATTGAAGAAGCAGATGTATGGCGTTTTATCTAATACTGGCATCTATCATTTTCATAAAGTGAAGAAAAAGTCAATTTTTGTTTTTTTTTCAACTCAAAAAACTGTTTCTGATGATTTTATTTAAGAATATTTAAGTTGAAACATAAAAAAAAATTATTATAAATGGTTTAAAATGAAGCTGTCACAAAAATTGGCTTTTTGTCGACTTTTTAAAAATGGTATATGTCCGTCTCTTATGTGAGACCTATAATGATTCCAATGGATCTCTAGATAAACAGAGAGGCATCTCACAAAAATTCATATGGGTCATTGTGAGAAAGAATTTCTGTTAACTACCACTTTAACTATTAAAGTAAAAGGCCTTTGTATACTATACTGCTAGATTATAGTTGTCGACATAAGGAACAAATTTTGTCACTATTTCTTTGAGTATTAGTGCACTCTAGAAGATCTCTGTCAAGCCCTCTAACATATATTTACACATCATATACTTTTCTCTCGTGCGAAATGTATAGGTTATAAGAGATGGATGTTATTAGAAAATAATTCATTGCTAGTTTCCACTTTCGGTTTAACTTGGCAATATTAACTTCTTTAAATGATTGACTATGAAAATGGAAGGGTCGTCCATGTCGGAATGAATCACAAAATCCTTGGATACGCAGATGATATAGCTGTCCTTGAAAGTAATCAAGAGGACATTGAGAAACTCGTTAAGACTCTGATAAGAGAGGCAGAGCAGATCGGCCTACAAGTAAATGAAGACAAAACAAAATATATGATAGTAAGCTGAAAATTTCAACTCAACAACAGGATCTGCGAAGAAGGAAAATCATTACCGAGAGTAGAAAAATTAAATACTCTCAGTTCCACAATAAGCTCAACAAATGACCAATGGTCAGAAATAGACCAGCGTATAACAAGCACAAACAGAGCTTTCTTCTCCCCTTTTCAAAGGTTTCGAAATCCTGAAAAATCTCAAATTAAGGGTGTGCAATGCTATGATAAAGCCAGTTCTAATATATGGCAGTGAGATCTGGACATTGACCAGCATCCTAGAAAAAGGTATTGAAAGATTTGAGGATCGATATGAAGGCAAGGAGGTTAAGATGGACGGGGCATGTAGCAATTAACAATCCCTCTGGAAGCCTCTACGTAACAACGAATGCCTCAATAGAAAGCAAAAGATCACATGGAAGGCCAAAAATCAGATGAATAGATAGAATCAATAAAGATTCAATAGAGCTGCGTACAGATAACTGGAAAGAAATATTCCGAGATAGGCAGAGATGGAGCAGGCTTGATAAGGCGGCAAAAGATCTACAATGTCTGTAAAGCCAACAGAAAAAGAAGCATGATTGACTACGGAAATAACCAATTATGATTGTTTCGGGGAAATTTTTTAATAAATACCAGAAATGAATCTTACCTACTCAGGTAAGTAAGTAACAGCACTTGTCTGAGTAGTTCCCCCCTCTAGTAGCAGTGCCAGTAAAAATAAAAATCAACTTCATACTAAAGAATTTTCTCTGATTCCAAGTTAAAAACTATAGTTCCAAAAGAAATAAATATGCAACAAGAGCGGTACCAGGGGAGGTATTACAATGTTTACATGCTAGACGAAAAACTTTGACAAGTCACACAGAGGACTCTGAAATGAACTAACATATCACTATCAACTCTAAGGTCAGAACTCTGGCAGGAAAGCTCTAACACGTACAAAGGCCTGAATCATAAACTTATCAATTCAATCATAAATGTCCCTCATATATAAAACTGTTAAAATTGTTACTATCTAATCCTGTTTTTTTTTTATTATTTCAAAGTTTTGCATACACATATTTCAAGCTCCTCTATTTCACAATATAAATAATTTAAAATAATATCATAATTACGATTCTTTCTTGCTTCAAATAGTCTAATATAGGCCCATTAAGGGGGTTGATAATATAACCTTAACAGAGCAAACATAACAAAGAAATTATTTTACATCATTAAAAAAATGCTACACCTTACGATCACAACAAAATATAACATTTTATCATCCTTATATTAACAAAAAAACTTTTGGTAAGAAAATAATAATAGAACATGATTGGATAACTTACTTTAATTTCTCTGTACACTCTATCTCCGTATGCGCACTACCGTTTGCATACGGCTCTGTGACAGATTTGTCAACAGACTTTCTCTGCTGCTTGTTGCTTGTGCTGCTGCAGCTCAAATGGTGAATCACGCCGTTGCTCGTTTCAGCTAATCGACAGAACAAAAACCTTAAATAAAATGTCTATTAAATAAAAATCATCAATAAAATTTGTTAATTCAAAAGAAAAATTTAGAGTAAAAGATTTTAAAAAATAAAAATATAATAATATACTTAAAATTTAATTAGTAGAGAAAATAAATCAAAACAAAAAGAAATAAAACAAAAATTAGGACATTATTAAAAGAAGTTAGAAAAAAAAAATGATTAAACAAATAAGAGGTAAGACATCACTCCAAAACATTTTAACTCATAATACAAAAGTTAATACAAAAAATTTCATGATATATCCTATTCCTTTATTCTGCATTATAATATGTCTTTTCTAAGGATGTAAATATGGGAAATAATATATATCATATTGATATTTTTCAAATATATCACTAAAAATGTTGATATTTCAGGCTTTGAATGAATCATTTGGTTAACATTGACATGAAGTCTTAGATTTTCCGAGAGTGCAAGCCGTTTCCGTTGGAACGAGGTGTGAAACATGGGGACAGCTTGAGTCCATTATTGTTTATCCTCTTTATGAACGAAATCTACCAAATATACAGAAGAACTGCATGGACTGTAGTTGGTATGTGGAACATGAGGATAGTTCAGGCGTTCCTCCTATATGCAAATGATATCGTGCTGGTGACTGACTACAAGAAAAACTGCAACAGGCCGTTATAGAATGGCAGGAAGAACTCGCTTGTAAAAGAATGAATATCAACTGCAGCAAGAGTAAGGTTAAGACTGTAGGAAGAGAAGAGGGGAATGTGGGAGATGTAAGAATAACATTATTTACATCTGGAGAATGTAGACTATTACACCTAGGAACAATTTTTAATACATCTGAAAAAATAGACCAGGAAGTTTCTAACAGAATAAAGAAAGCAAAAAGTATATATTACCAGATTTGCAACACAATTATGGGAAGGAGAGAGGTAGGAAAGAATGTCAAACTTCACATGTATAAAGCAGTCTATCTCCCTACATTATTATATGGCAGCGAAAGCTGGGTCAGCCAAGACAAACACTTAAGCAGGATTACGGCTGCTGAAATAAAAATTCTATGAACAATATTAATAAAAAAAAAACAGGAAAGACAGAGTAAGGATTGACAGAATCATAGAGAGGAATTCCTAATACCCTCACTGAAAGCAAATATGGAAAGCCGAAAATTTTAGTATGGGCACATATGTAGAATGGGAGTAAACAGAGTACAAAGGAAATGTATGGAAGTGAGGGCAAATGGCAGGAGACAACGAGGCATGCCTAGAAGAACATATCCAGCGACTGAGTCAGGAGAGAGGGAAAAGCCTAAGGTCAGATGAAGGAATTGGCAAGACACCGGAATGTAAAGTCCAAATGGCTGGAGGCAATCCTCCACGCTGAACGGCACACAAGGAGGAAGAAGTTAGCCAACATTTCGACCCAAATATGGGCATGTGGGTTATCATCAGGGCTTAAATTAAAAATATATAATAACATCAGAAAAATGATAAATATAAAAGTAAAAGAGAGAAGAATAACAGTAACAAGATAATAGTAATAAGAATAAAGAATAAAATCAGAAAAATGATGAATATAATAGTCCATGGTACAAACCATTTCTGTGACAAAACTACTTATTTCGCGCCTTTTGTCCCGAAACTTAAAAATTAGTATCTATAAAACAATTATCTTGCCTACAGTTCTTTATGGGTGCGAAACTTGGCCGCTTACATTAAGGGATGAGCAGCGCCTTAAGGTTTTTGAAAATAAGGTATTGCGTAGAATATTCGGACCGAAGAAGGATGAGTTAACCGGAGAGTTCAGACGGTTATACAACGCCGAATTGCGTGAACTGTATCCGAGTAATATAATTGAGATAATTTCATCGCGGCGAATCAAATGGGCTTGTAAAGTTGTTGGACTTAGTAACGAGAGAATTCCTAAAAGGTTAATATTTGCTGTGCCGAATGGTAAGTGTCCGAGGGGTAGACCGAAGCGAAGGTGGGAAGATTGCATTAAAGCTGATCTGAAGGGACTGGGTTTGGATGGCGAACGGTGGAGGGAGGTGTGTAATAAGCGATTGGTGGTGTCGGCATCAAACCTTCGGGTTCGCTAAGCCTTTTTATTATTTATGGTACAGACCCCTTTTTAATCGAATTATTACATCCGCCTGAAACTTCGTAAATAGTTTCATCTCATCGTAACCTACAACTATTTTACTTACGAAAACACTTGGAATCGGGGCATTGATGTCTACTTGGATGGTAAGATAATTTGATCAAAAAATCGAGAAACAAAGTGGTCTTCAAAAATTTTCAAGATAACTTGATTATATTGGACAAACGGCCCAATATTTTTGTAGGCCACCTTTGTCCAAGTAGAAAGCAAATGTGTACTTATGAGTTTTTAGTAACTAGTAAATAAAATAGTTGTAGGTTACAATTAGATGAAACTATTTACGAAGTTTCAGGCGGATGTCAATTAATCGATAAAAAGGGGTCTGTACCACGGACTATAAAAGTATAAGAGAAGAAAAATTGTATTCTATTAAAAATTATTATCTTATTTATTTACTCTTATTACTACAAATCTTGTTACTGTTATTCTTCACTCTTATTACTCTTACACTTTTATATTCAACATTTTTCTGAAGTTATTTTAAATTTAGTAATTTTCAGCTCTGATAACGACCCTTATGACGTTGACTAACTAATTAAAGAAATCTTGACAATTTTTTCATCCTTATAATTAGAACATTCAACTACTTACCCTTCTATAAACATTTATTAGAAATAAGACTCATTGCTAAGAAATAGAACAAAAATGTATCCATTAAAAACTGTGATTAGAAATTTTTCACAATTGCAATGCTTTCCTTTACTATATATTTCATATAGAGGTAAACAAAAGTAAAAAGGACAGCTGAGTATGATTGCTTAGATGTTAAATGCTTGATTAAATATTTTACAGACAGAGCAAACTAATTACTATGTCTTAAGTAAACCGTTACTTCAATGATCGTTGTAAAGCAAGTAACTTCAACAACTGTTTATATTGGCTAGACCTTCTTGATAATATTATATTGTTAAAGGAATAAACATGTTTCCGTAATATCACATATATTTCTGTTTTAATATTTATTACCTTTTCTTTATTAAAAAATGTTAAATCCTTCAGCTATATATATTTTAAGTTTTATACATCTTACCAAATATTATATAGCTTCCATTAATTAATAACAAAGCTCCACTAATTAATATTGTTAAAAATTACTATATGTAATTATTGTAATCTTTACATGTTTAGTCCTGTCATTGGACGATAGGTGTTGCAATCTCATCATATTATATGAATTTATATTCTCTTCTGTGAAAAATGTCTATACTACATAATAATTAAATAGCTCAATTTTCATTTATAACTAAACATAAATTTAATTATATTCATTTATAAATAAAATAATAATACAGAATTAACACTCAATATTTTCAACACCAAAGAACAAATGTTTTTTTTTTTTACTTATTAAAATATTTACTTTAAATTAATATCAAATAAAAACATGCCAATTAATGTAAATATATACACGATTCGATGGCATAGGCAGATTCTTAGTTGAGACGCCATTATCAAGATTGAAGCTGAGATTGTAACCAAGTTTACATTTTTAGCTGGTCAAGAGCCATTGATATTAAAGGTAAGTTTAACGAAATAATGATATTGAAAATTAATAAAAACTATTAAAACAAACTTTAGTATTAAGAAATCAAATCTGAATAGGGAATCACAACTGAAGCAAAACGAAGGTCAAATATATAATCTACGAGATACTTCATTTAAGGATAAACAACAATTAGGAATGTCTATGGATTCACACATAAAAGAAGCAAAGCTATATCAAATCTTTTGGTGTTATTTTTGTCATTTATTAAAGATGCGCCATTTTTTTATCAAGTAGAAAACATATAGAAAGTATGTTTAACTAGTCGATATACCGATTTTTCAACTTTCAGATATGAAATTGGTCTCGATTTTATTTGAGCATAAACATGGGTGAATTCATAGGGAAGAGATGCAGGGCACCCATAAGAAAATTAGAATTTTCATTTTTAAAATTAAAAATTAATTTGCATGTACCTACATTTGAATAAATTTAGTTAATTAAAATCAGTGACATTTAAATAAAATATATGAAAAAATATAATTATATTAGCTAGGAAATCAAAATTATAGACAGGACTATTGCAATACACAGCGATACGAATGCAGATAATTTAAATACATTCTATGCAAGCTCGGTTATATATATAAGGAGAAGAATAATGGTGATCTTTGGCCAAAAATCATTTAAATAATACAAGAACACAATCTTTTAACAATTTTTTAGACACACAGATTCTAATAATAAATTATATTGTAAAAATTAAATAACATAAGTTGAATATTACCTTTGGTTTTGTCTGGCGGTTGCTGCTGATTTGACGATTGCACAGACTCGATCGGTAAGGCCTGTGCAAGGAGATTCATGTAGAATTGGTTCTCTTTTTTCACTTCCCTTTGTTTCCTCTAGAAGAGAATACATTAGTCATTGGTATAACTTCTTTATTTAAATAAGTAAACTTTTCATTTTAAAATTTCACCTAGTAAAATTTGAATCAATTTAGTAAAAATTTAGTTTTTAGGCACTTATAATGTTCATTTAATGAGATTTTTTAAAGCATATGTCCATTTTCAATAACAATAGCTGTTTGAAGTTATTTTCAATAAATGGACCATTTATTAGACTTTTGGGAAAGTGTATTAATATATTTTTTTTTAATTGAGAGCAAACTCTTGACAGAAAAGCAATTTAAAAAAGTAACTATCAAAATAAGCAATACGAATTAAAACTAAAAAGCTAAATACAACATGTCTGTTATTGCAAAAGGTTGTATGTAAGAATTTTACATGTTCTCTTTGCGCTAAAGGTGATATTTTGTAGCCTGCTAAATAGGAAAATAGCATAGCGAAATAAAATATGAAATTATAATAATAAATAACAACTATGTCACCCCATTTATTTATTTTTTCTATACTTACGTTTATTATCTTATACATTCCACTACTTTTCGTTGTTAATTCATTTTTCATTTCTTATTGTTATCTTATTTTGATTATGTTTATTTCATTAGTTCCTAATTTGTAGCCGTTATCAGTTATTTCTTAATTCTCTGTTACTGCTATTATTCTAACTACTTTATTTTACTTTAATATTCACTCTATCTATTTTATTATATTATAATAATAAACAAAAAGAAATAATCAGTTTTTATGCTCTTATGTAAAAAAAAGTCAATTTTTACATACAACCATTTGCACTAACAGTAGCAAAAAACAAAATATAAAATTAAAAATTGATAAATAATTGTAATCATACCTGTCGTATCCGAAAGCTGACATAGCTTTTGAATCCGAAACCTAGTGTAACAACAGGGTACCCAATGCTAAAAAAAAAAATGAACAAAATTTTATTTAATAGTAATTTCATATTATTTACTATAGTCAATAACATTAATGTTGAAACTAATTTATAATTTAAGGAATTAAAAGCAATGAAAAAACCGATGCCCTCGTAAGGAAAGGAACAGAATTTTCTATTGTAGGTCCGGAACCTGCGATAGGAATATCTAAGAACCATCAGCGGAAAGAAGTCCTTGATTGGACTTGGAAAAGAGCAGGTAAAGAATGGAGGGAATGCACTGGGCTTAGACAAGCCAATCAAATTATCAAACCCGACTCTCCTATAAAACTAAGTAGCTGCTGGGCCTAACTAAAAAAGAAATCCAACTCATCATCGAAGTACTAACAGGCCACTGCAGACTTAAAAGACACTTAAAAATCTGTGAGATAGTGGATGATGAACTCTGCAATCTGTGCAGAAACGCAACAGAAACTGCCCTTCACTTCATTACAGAATGCGACCGATTTGCATCACTCAGATACAGACTTCTGGGCGGAGACAGAATACAAGTGCGAAGCTACCTCCATAAAATGGCCCAACCTTTTAACTTCATTAGAAGAACAAACAGGTTTGAGACAGAGTTGGACGTATAAGAGCCAACCATTGGTAGTGTTGTCTTCGAGGTTGGCAAAAAGGACCAATAGGCCCACTCAATGGACTAAGCCCCCCAGTATCTATAATTTAAACTAATATACACATAGTTATTCATTTATGATTTACAATAATGTCCTCCATTGTAAGGGTGGCTTTAGTTAGTTAATTACCGTTATTTGAGAGATTCGAGGTTTTTTGATTGAAATCTTCCAATTATATCCTACAAATCAATTTATGCATCTTTTTAATTATTTAAAAAAAAACACTTAATTCAATCAAATCAATTATTTAATTAACGATACCCTGCGTGTGCGCAAAAGAGGGTCTTCTGAAGCCAGGGTCAATCCACAACTGATAAAACAGAATAAATAATTTATCTGCATAAGACGGGATTCGAAGCTGTGACCTTGAGCATTGGAAGTTCAGCGCCCTACTACTGAGCTATCTCCCCAATCACCGAATTATTAGCTCTTAAATATTAATTAATTTAGATAAATTCAATTTAAAACATTAGCGAACATTCCTTAATGAATTAAGTTAGGTGACTTAAAGATAACTCCAGATTTATCAATAATTGGGCAATTAAGCAGTAAACCAACCAACAACAATTATATTCTTATGAGGAGTTAGTCGAGGGTGCGGTCAAATAAATAAAAAAAAATTAAAATATATAAATTATTTTAATAATGCCCAAGGGCAAAAATTAAAATAATTTATATATTTTAATTTTTTTTTATTTATTTGACCGCACCCTCGACTAACTCCTTCTCATATTGTATCAACGGTCAACCATCTCTACATCATTAATTATATTCTTAATTTTCATTTTGGTCATTCAGATTCCCATTTTGGTCAATCCGAGAACAAAATTAAAAATCCCTTCCGCCCAAATATATACAAAATAATACGTAATATTCCAAATATAACTACTCATTTTATGTCTGTTTTGTTTATAATAAAAAAAAGTTTATAAAAAAAAATAGATTAAACTGTTAACCAGATTAGTAGGCATTGATTGATACAAATTGTTTCCCTTTTTTCTCCTCTCAATCTTTGAATTTCTCTAAAAAGGGAAATTTTTCATCAAAGTGGAAACCTTGAATCTCAAGTATGTTATTTAGATAAGATAAGAAACTACAATTGAAAACTATGGTAGCTATAAATCATGTACTATAAATTTTAAACAATAAATAAATCAAAACTATCTAAAATTTATTTTAAAATTAATCTTTTATTGATTTACCAATGTGCTGCAAAGGGCCTACACAGGTCCAGATGGAACGGCATGTGCCTTAAATCCTTGAGGCGGACTGCTGCTTCCATGTAAGCAAACAGTAACCACAGCATTACTGTCGGAAGACAGATTCCTTTTTCTGAAACAATATTAAATTTATAAGAAGCTAATAAACAATTGAAACAGTTATATTATTAGTATAATAAATCATTTTTAACTTAAAGATATTACTAGATCTATTTTACATTATTCTAGATTTATTAAGAAGATGGAGTCTGACAGTCAGTCTTAAGACTGATTTCAATCATTATGCACTGTACAAGTATCATTCGGAATGACAACGTTTAGCTCTGTTGCCGTTGAGACATCAGCCAATTTTGTTCTAGCGCAGTGATCAGCGAACTTATTAGCCAAAGAGCCAAATATGAACATTACAACAATTTAAAAAAAATTGGAGCCAAATCTGCTTGTTTAGTAAACTTTTATTACACTAAATAAGTAGTACACTAAATAAAACTAAATTTCATACTTAATAAATATTTATTAATGCGAACAATGTGCTTGCATCTCCTTGGAAAGTTTGAGTAAGTCAGGTTTGTATGTTGTTGTTTTTAATTTTAGGCATGATTCCAAGTTCTCATCAATCACTTTTCAGTTACTCTTGATAATGTTCATGCTTGAAAAAGATTGTTCGCATATATATGTAGAACCGAAAAGGGAAAGAACAGCAAACGTGAGCTTTTTCAGCTGATCGTAAGAGTCAGGAATACTATCCCAAGCGTTGAAAATGATCATGTCTTCCTTCTCTAGGTCATTCAAAGCAGACCACTTGTGTTGTGAACTAAGATCACATTTTTTCTTCTCCAATATTTGCAATTCAACACAAAGACGTTCAAATTTAGAGCGATATATCTCCTTGTTTTTTAAATCCAGCAATTGTATTTCAAAGCTACCAATGTCAATTTGAAAAGGAGAAATTTTCAACTTGGTTATCGTAGCATTAAGAGGATTTTTGACAGATGCTAAATTTGCTTTGCTGTTTTTAAATTCCTAATTTATCAAAATAAGATGTAATTATTTTCTTACCAAGTTTTTTTTTAAATGAAAATATTATTGCGTCTTCCGTGGATATCTGTGCCAGAGCCGCACTTTGACGACCACCGCTCTAGCATATTATCTATTAATAAAATGTTTAATGAAGAAAAAGTTTGTTTGGCCACAGCATTGGATATTGAAAATAAAATAAAATTATAAATATCATACACAACAGTTTACGATTGCATTTTTCTATATAAAATGAGAACTGTTGAGTAAAGCATAAACTGTCTTTTTGATAAATCTATGGCACGTGTACAAACTGTATTAAGGTATCACCAGAAAGCTAATTTTTCTTTTTCTTTGTGTCTAATGGGCTAAGTTATTCGGCTATTACAGAGATGAATGTTCCTTCATGAATCATGAGTTAGAACTCAAAAATTAAACTTGCACCTGTGAAAATTATAAACTTTTAATTGTGTTTTTTTCATAAATATGATTTTTACACTTAACACACTACACACAGATGGCACAGAAATTACCCATTTTTTTAATGATAAAAATTGAAAAGGAAATAATTTTTTCAACAATATGCTGTTAATTTTCCTCAATCCATGACATATTTATCCAGTATATATAAAAATAAAGTTAAGAGTCTGAGAAAATGAAGAAAATCTCTAATGACAATTTTCTGCTCAGTTATAGAGAATTATAGCTGATATTTTGAGAAGTAAGGTTTGAAGATTAATCAACACTTCAATTTTTTTAATATAAAGATATAAATAATGTTTTAATGGTATTTTTCAGGAATGAAATCATATTTTAGATAATTCATAACAAAGAACACGATGAATAGAAAAAGTAAACCAGACACAATTATTATAAACGGAATCAGGATATCAGTGGAACTCTCTGATGGAGGTAACACTTACACCATGTATTTTAATTGATTAGCCAGCAAATAAATGTACAAATTTTATGGTTAGAGAAATTTTCTAAACTTTATTAAAATGTTCATTGAATTTTTCATTAAATCTGTTAATGTCTAAGAATAAATAAAGCTGACTGAATAGACTTGAAAAATTAAGTAGACTCTCACTAAAAAGACAGATTCCGTGGATATGACATTGTTCCTTGTTTCAAATCTCTGGTTATTGCAGACTATCAAAATCTTTCTATGGAATTCCCTGACTTGCTAGGTTTTCCAAGGTCGGTAGATACACTATTATTAAAATAAAATGATATTATTGTTTTTATTCTCTTAAGAATAGAACAAAAAATAACTGAAGCAAAACAAAAAAGCTTTAAAGAACTTGAATTAACATGTATTTTTGAGGAACAATAATTCATTTTTCTTTTTCTGTTGGCTTTACAGACCTCTTTGACCACTCAATCAGCCTTCTCCACCTCTGCCTATCTCGGGCTTTTGCTTTCCAGTCTGTACCATGAAGCTCTGCAGTATCTTTGTTTATTCGATCTATTCACCAGGATTTTGGCCTCCAACATGGTCTCTTGGCAACTATTGTGGCATTCACTGTAGTGTAGAGGCTATCTGATCTTGACCTCCTTGCCTTTATATCATCAAAATATCTACTGACCAATTTCTCTAACGAGTCCTTTGTAGATCTTCTTATTCCAGATAGCTATGATTATAGTATAGAAGACTTTCCTTCCTAATGTTTCAATTCTTCCTTCTAAAGGACTGGTTAAAGTCCAGGTCTTCCAACCATATATCAGTACTGGTTTTATTAAAGCATTTTACACGCTTCGTTTATGATTTCTATACATTTTATGGGGTTTTAGCACAATTTTCGGTTTACTATCATATAACTTTGTTTTCTTTTCAGTTACTTGAAGACTTATTTGTTCTGCTTCTCTTATCGGATTCTTTTAGTAGGCCTCTTAAGGTCCTCCTGATGGTTCCAACGACAGCTATATCTTTGGCATATCTAGGGATTTTATGATTCAGTTTGGCGTGTACCCCTCTACTTTAATGTGATTTTGTTATTATTATCTTCTCCAGTACTGACGGATAGTCCATCTTCCTACCTCATACATGTTTGAGCTTCGAAGGCTTTAGATACTTCTTGTATCAGAACTCACCCTTATGATTATTTGTACAAGCTTTTGCCAAACTCGCCAATTTTATGGGAATGCCGAGTTCAGTCGTGATTTTCCAAAGACAATTTCTGTCCACGGAATCATAGGCTACTTTGACATTAACAAATAAGGCGTGCATTTTCTAAGGTAATTGCTACTTGATGGTCACCTATAATGTTTTTATAATGCAAATATTTTTATTTTAGCAGGTTACTGGTCATCTCACAGGTAACTACTATAAGGAGTAATATGCCTTTGCAATTACAGCTTTTAAATGCTCGTCAAGAACTATTCACATGTTCAGAAAATCTTGAGGTAATTTTTTTGCGTCCTGGTACCCCGGGGAGCTTTCAAGTTGGGCATTAATCCACTGCTCTCATCTTCTGGTCCGAGAAAACCATGTATAGCCTAAAAGGCGAGGAAGAGTAGAACAAAAATATATCATCATCATAATCCATCCTCTGGAACCGCATTAAGCAATGTGAGGAGGAACTCTATAGAGCCTCCTCCAGATATGCCGTTCTTCCACAAGACGCCTTCTATCATTTCATTGAAGACATCTTCTCTGGAAGTCGCTTTTCACCTCATCTTCCCATTTTCTTCTAGGTCGTCCTCTTCCTCTCTTGCCCTTTATTTTAGCTCGATAGGCTTCGCTAGCTATTCTGTTTGGTTCCAGCCGCAGAAGATGTCCTTGCCAGTTGATTCTCTTCTATCACATCATTGGCCGGCTTAATATTGAGGTTCAACCTGATGGTGGTGTTGCGTACTCTCTCTCTTCTTGTTTTCCCCTCAATCTTTCGAAGGAATTGCATTTCTGAACAAAAATATATAAAAAATAAGTAAATAAAAAAGAGGCTCGGTTTAGATATACATAGGACAAAAAAAAAAAATGTTCAGAAAATCTATTTTTTCAACACAAATTGGCAAAACAAATTAATAAACAGAATGTTTTTTACATATACATTTTAAAATTTATTATTATCAACATAATTTTTTTTTTAATAATATACCTTTACACCATAAATATATAAAAAGTTTTTCAAATTATTAATATTTTTCAATTTCTCTAAACATGATTGGTACGTCTAGGAAAGGAGGTTTAATGTTATAGCAACAGTAGAGTCGACTGTATATATTGATAACAATATTCACTATAAGCATTTAATTTTAACATATGTAAAATAAAAATGTTAATTTTTTATCTGTAAAATTGTTATAAAACTTGAAGTAGGATGGAATCAAAGGGTTATGATGATATGTATTGTTGAGATCATTAATTGGTAATGTCAAAATTACTTTAAGTAAGGAATTTTCAATATTACATTTGTATATTATTTTCAATTTTGTTGAGAATATACACATATAGTTTTTATAATAAAGCAAACTAGGCTTCATTAATACTCAGTTTTTTTCCATAATTTTCAGACAACATACCATCAAACACATACATAATAAAACTCCATCCAAATCAGTTTAGCTACTACATAATCTAGAGCAATGATGGAAAACTTGCGGCCTTTGGGCTGTTTTCATAAGGGCTAGTTCTGGTATTCATTAATATTTTATTATAAAGATAAAAAATCTGGTGGGTCCACTCACACGACTTTCCTACCTATTTCAAAAAAGTTTTAAAATCTTTAAATATGTCCATTAAGAAACAAAAATCTGGTGTGCCCCATTCTACAAGTCTCACATTCATCCCTTTCTGATATGAACCCGTAATCATACATACGAAATTGAATAGCTGTAAACTTCGTTAATAGTTGTCCGAAATGAATGATTTTTATATAGTTTTGTAGAGAATTTCATTACCTTTCAAAAAAACATGCTATACTTTCCTTACCTAGTATAGGTAGGAAAATAATAAATTAAAACGTGTAGAAAATAGAATACGCCCTATCATCGCTAATAATAGTTCGATTCCGATGATCTATTTTTGGTTTTGTCGGTAATCTAATTACCTTCCAAAAGTTATATTATAAATTTTACCATATAATATATATTTAGCGAATTAGGCCCCAAAACATTTTTATTTTCTTTATAATTTTTTTTCCTGAATTTTCTCGGGAATTTAGTACATGTACAAAAATTGAAAGGGCAATTATTAGAACATTACTGAAAAGTTTCATCAAAATCGTTAGAGCTAGTATTTTTGCACTAGTCTATAGAAAAATATGTTTTTCAATTATTGAGCAGCGGCTATTGCACAGGGAGCACCCAATTTGTGTCACAAGCATCACTAGTCAAACCCATAAAAAAAAAAAAAAAAAAAAAAAAAAAAAAAAAAAAAAAAAAAAAAAAAAAAAAAAAAAAAAGAAAAAAGATTGGTTCAGTTGTTCCTAAGAAAATCTTGGATCAGACAGACCAATGAGGGTTCTGGTCCAATGCCGATACTACCAACTGATGCCCACATTCTTCCATCCACCGGACCCGGCCTAAACCCAACACAATCTTCACACCTTCGCTTTGGTCTACATCTTGGATGCTTGCCAGCCGGTACAGTGCACATTAACTTTTTAGGAATTCCTTCATTACTTGCCCATTTTATTCGCCTCAACTTAATTATCTCAATTGTATTAATCTGATACGGTTCATGCAATTCAGCATTGTGTAACCGCCTAAATTCTCCATTTGACACATCCTTTTTCAGTTTGAATATTCTGCGCAGTACTTTATTTTTAAAAAACCTTAAGACGTTGCTCACCCCTTAATGTAAGCGGTCAATTTTTGCATCCATAAAACACCATAGGAAGGACAATGGTATTGTAAATTCTAATTTTTAAGTTTCGGGACAGGAGGCAAGAACTAAGTAGTTTTGACAAAGAAAAATAACAAGCATTTCCCGCCTTCAGTCTAACCTTAATCTCTTCTTCAATTTCATTTTTTTCTGGTTATTGTAGACCCTAGGCACCTAAAATTCTTTACATGTTTAAACCCATTCCCTTCTATATCGATATCTTTGCAGTTAAGCATATATTTTGTCTTATCCGTATTTATCTCGATCCCTTGTTTTTTACCGGCTTTCATTAGCGTTGCCGTATTGAGTTTTATAGTTTCCAGGGCTTCGCTTAACAAGACCAGATCGTCCGTATAACCAAGCACGGGTGTTGTCCCACCCAGATCCAACCCTTTTTCATTACGCTTTACCATCCCTTACGGCATGTTCTAATACTAAATTGAAAAGGACAGGCGAAAGAGAATCACCTCGTTTTAAACCCAAACGAACCTCAAACTTTTCAGATAAATTATTATTGATTCTAACTGTGAGAGTTTCCGTGAAGCACATACTGACTAGATTTGAATTTGATATACAGCTGGTGAATAACACCGGTTGTACTTTAATTTTTTCTCCAATATTTTGCATAAAGAAAATATTTTATCAATATGAGAACGGTTCAGTCTAAATCCACATTAGTAGTCTCCGATAATTTTCTCGGCATATTCTGTGATTACACTAGTTAAGATTAAAGTGAATATTTAATGACATACCGGAAGGAGTGAAATTCCGCGATAGTTATGACAGTCTGTCCTCAGACCCTTTTTGTGAATCAGAATAAGAACAGACTGTTTCCGTTCTTCAGGTAATTTCTCATTCTCCCAGATCTTTTTAACCAACAAATGTATTTTAGAAACTCCCGTTTTTTTATTTTTGATCAATTTTTTTGTTTCATTCTTTGAAGTTCGAAAGTATTCGAGATTGTCTTTGCTAGAATTATTTAGAGCTTTTATTTTTTCACACATCTTTAAGCAATCTTCCTCAAACCACGTAAAACGTTTTTTATTTTTATTTTCCTTTTTTCCAAGACACAACAAGTTACGATAAATTATAGAAAGAGTATCTTAAAAATAAAATAATAGAAATAGAAACTAATAGAATCGAAAATAACGTAAGAGCCATGAACAAAGGTATAAACAGATCACATAAATGTTTAGGGCACGTCACGTCTGGAATGAGGGATGAAAATAACAATATTCTGACCGATCCAGTAGACGTATTAAATAAGTTTAAGAACCCCTTTGACTATATTTTAAATACAGGAAATAATGATTTGTCTACTCTTTCTGAGTACCAGAGTGATGAAACATTGATAGAAGAACCGAGTAAAGAGGAAGCTGATACGGTGTTGTTCACCAGCTGTATATCAATTTCAAAAAGGCTTATGATTCTATTGATTGCTAGGAACTGTATAATATTCTAATTGAGCAGGGGATTCCAAAAAAATTTGACTTTAAATTTATCAACATATAATAAACTGAACGAAACCACAGTTCAGAAAAATTGTTAATATCTTTAAAAATCTATATTGTACATCGCACCTTATTTCCAATGTGTACCCATAATATATATTCAACTTGCCCAGTGCCATTTTTGGTCAGAAACATAAAAATTATGTTTATTCCAATATTCAATCATCGGCACACAACAGAATCTAAATATTATATATAAATCAGTTCATACTATTATCTACATTTATCAGTAAAAATAAGTGAAGATGATGAATGTAATTTGTGCCAATTTTAATCATGGTTAATTTGAATTCTGGAGATCAGTCACCTCCTCGACAATAGTCAACTCTTGACAAATTCCACTACTTTTGGCATTCCATATATGAATGTGATCTTCCATCCAGTGAAACAACTTCTGAACTAGTGTCAAAAATATCTTATAATGTTACCGATTATAAATAAGGTACTAGTTAAGGTGAGGAGAGTCTGGTTTTCTTGATGAAATTCAAGAACAATGGTCATTCAATGGAGGGAACGTATTGGGCAAGGATTATACCCGAAGACTGCACCTAAATACGAATACCTGACACAATCAGCTTTATAATGTAAGGTAATCTCCAAGGCTTCGTTACCCAGAACTCCACAAATTTTTAGGGGTCTTTCAAGTCTGCAATGGCCTGTGATCACTCCGATAATTCTTTTCTATTTAGGCCTAGCATGAACTTGGTTCTTGAAACAGAGGATTCATTAAATAAGTGACTTGTCTGACCCAACACATTCCCACCACTTCTTTAATGCTCCTTTCAATGTCCTGTCAAGAAGCTTATTAAACTTTAGTATTTTTAAGATACATAATGAAGGTTCTGGCAGTATAAAATGGAGCTCAACACCATTTCTTGAAAAATGGTTTGCTTCTTCATTGCCTGTGATATCTTTGTAACTGAGAACCCAAACTAGCTTACGCTTCTCCAGCCAACCAAGTATTTCCAATGACTTCTTATACTCATAAACTAATACGGAAATCTTTCTTTAATATACAATAATCTTTTACGTGAGTAGTCATAACTTTATCATGTCATATAATATCTGTACATACTATTATAATATTGTGATAATAATTAACGTCAAATAAACTAAAAAGGAAAATTATTTTCATAACAAAAAATATATATCTACAAAAATTAAATTTCTCAAATTCTTATCCGATCAAAACAGGAAAATGATCACTTCCGACAGAAATAAACATACATCAATAATATAAAACAAACAGAAAAAAATAATAAGAATGAAAAAGATATAATATATAAAAGTTGAAATCACCTGTGTGCCAAACATACTGAACCCATACGTATGTACTGGCTGCGAAAAACAACCACTGGACTGGGATAAAGAAATAACAGATCATATCTGAAGTAAGAGCTATAGATACAAAGAAAACTGAAAATGCCTGAAAAATAATAAACAAAACAGATCAGAATAAGAAAATTGAAATTTCCAGTAAATATAACATCAAACTAATATTCTACACAATGAATAAACATAACAGAGATTTAAATTAATCTCAAACTTGATACATCAACATAAATAATAAAAGTATGCAAAACTGACTCTCACCAATCCTTGATATTTATAGGAATCGTAGACACTACGAAGTAATAGCCAGAATGGCCATAGGAATTCAAAACGAAACTCAAGAAGAAAGTCTGCGAGAAGAACAAGTGCCCATAACATGAAAAACTTCAAGTACACAATGGTACTGGAAAAAATAAAGAAAAATTACTAATATAATCTGTAAAGTCCATCTTATTTATATAATTTAATACATTAAGAATGATAAGGAGTATATCAAATAATAGGAATATCTTAGGAAGTTTAACGTTAAATGAAAGTTCTGATAGCAGTGTTATTATTACTGAAGGAGGAGTAATATCTACAAAATAAGTATATAAGTCCATTTAAACATAAAATGTTCTTTATTTATATCAAATTGTATTCAATTTTAAGGATTTGAGGTTATTATTTTCATTTTGAGGAGGCAATGAGAAGACAGAACTGAGTCCTAATTTGGAGGCCCAGCCAGCACAGGGGCTGATATTGATATTAGGACTTTCGTTCAATTAGCATTAGCTGTTACAGGTGATATTTATTCATTTAATCAACATTTATTCCACAGATGTAAAACACATATGGCGACCCTCCTTACCTCCCATATATACCATCTGTTATTTTGCTTCGTTTTACTGGCCTTCGTAGTTTAGGGCACTCGCCATTCCTTCTCTTCATATTCTTAATATCTTCACAGTTGAAAAATACAATAGACAACGGTGTAAAGAGAAATATAAACTTGTGTTTACGTTAAATATTTTGCGAAACTATCAACTACTTTTGTTGTCATTTATGAATATCACTGCCCGCAAAATTGAGTGTTTATCGATACATTAATCGACATAAAAAGGTTGTCAAATTATAATATTTTAATTCTTAACCGAGTTTAATTTTTATAACTCTTAATTACTACGAATAATATAAAAACATTTCCCAAGTGAATGGGCTAAACAATATATTACTTTCAGAAACTTTTCTCTTCAGTTTGGAATTGACATGATCATATCTACACTTTTTAAGTTGAAAAAGTATTCATTTATATTTTTTAAGAAAATGACAGAAATTAATGTCATAAGAATGAGAAAATGAAATAATTCCTTGTCAATAATAGAGGCATTGAAATGAAGCTTCTCTGTGTTGTTCTCTTTTTACCGCCATTAGCCGGGCTTAAGACTATTTCGCTGGCGCGGTCCACGACAGCGACCGCTATTCCACGCTGCCAACCGCTGTTGGCGTACCTATTTCGCTGAAACTGCTCACTGCGGTTGTTATAACCTGCCTATAACCTTCGAACATTTCGCTGTATCTTTGAAGATAAAAAGATGGACATAATATAATAATAAAAATGAACATCCTATAATAATGAACATCTCTGACTACCGCTTTTTTATTTGAGTTGGAAAAAGAAGAGAAAATGTTGTTCATAAAGAGAAGGAATATCAGTATTTCGATGTGATGCTCATCATCAAAGTCCCTCTGATACTAGATATTATTAGTTTGAAAAGTAATAATAATTAATACATAATTGATTAGTAATAAATATCATATATTTGTAATTAAATCCCAGCAGGCGATGTTTTATAGTTTTATCAATAGTAATCAGTAAATCACCACTTTAATTAAAAAATACAAATCGATTTTTCAATGGGTGGATTTTAGTATTTACCTGACGATAAAATTTGTTGGATTCTTTAATTCATTTAATATCGTTTGGATTTAGGTATATTTGTATTTCGCTGTAAAATATTGCTGGTGGAATAAATAAATAAATAATCTTGTTACTTCAACCTTAAAAAAATAATTTACTATTGCATTGTTTCAGTTTTAAACAATATTTGTTATAATTTTGCCAGACTTGAAAGAAACATAGGAAATAAAACGTATCGACGTGACTGTTATCATCAAAACAATACTCTGATATGATAACATAACCTACAACCGCCGAACCGCCAACAGCTCCACTGCTTCAAGAGGAGTCAGATCCGAGCAGCTTAGATATGACGTCATACCTAGACTGCCGAGCAGCGCCAGCGAAATAGGTTCCTTTCTATTCCACTAAAGCAGTGGTCAACCGCGAGCAGTCGCGGTCGTGGCGCGGTCCACGACCGCGACTGCTCGCGGTTGACCACTGCTTTAGTGGAATAGAAAGGAACCTATTTCGCTGGCGCTGCTCGGCAGTCTAGGTATGACGTCATATCTAAGCTGCTCGTATCTGACTCCTCTTGAAGCAGTGGAGCTGTTGGCGGTTCGGCGGTTATAGGTTATGTTATCGTATCAGAGCATTGTTTTGATGATAGCAGTCACGTTGATAGGTTTTTTTTTCCTATGTTTCTTTCAAGTCTGGCAAAATTATAACAAATATTGTTTAAAACTAAAACAATGCAATAGTAAATTATTTTTTTAAGGTTTGAAGTAACAAGATTGTTTATTTATTTATTCCACCAGCAATATTTTACAGCGAAATACAAATATACCTAAATCCAAACGATATTAAATGAATTAAAGAATCCAACAAATTTTATCGTCAGGTAAATACTAAAATCCACCCATTGAAAAATCGATTTGTATTTTTTAATTAAAGTGGTGATTTACTGATTACTATTGATAAAACTATAAAACATCGCCTGCTGGGATTTAATTACAAATATATGATATTTATTACTAATCAATTATGTATTAATTATTATTACTTTTCAAACTAATAATATCTAGTATCAGAGGGACTTTGATGATGAGCATCACATCGAAATACTGATATTCCTTCTCTTTATGAACAACATTTTCTCTTCTTTTTCCAACTCAAATAAAAAAGCGGTAGTCAGAGATGTTCATTATTATAGGATGTTCATTTTTATTATTATATTATGTCCATCTTTTTATCTTCAAAGATACAGCGAAATGTTCGAAGGTTATAGGCAGGTTATAACAACCGCAGTGAGCAGTTTCAGCGAAATAGGTACGCCAACAGCGGTTGGCAGCGTGGAATAGCGGTCGCTGTCGTTGTTGCTCTTTTATAACACAATTTGTTCGTTGGACTATCCAACGATTAGCACCATTTTTTCTTCTAACAAGTTTTAAATAAATTCTGTAACCATAGATCTGACAGGGAGACCGTGTCATTCAAGGAATATGGGAGATAAGGAAGGTACTAAAAGTGTAACTTATTCAAGTTTTTTCCAAGTGTAATTTGTGCTATTTTTCTTTAAACTTCCTCTGGGATTATTTGAACCGTTTTCATTTAGTGGCTGTACTTACCACATTAGTTATTCTTGCCTCAATTTACAAGTTTTGATTGTGTACATCATGTTCAGTTCGGTGTGTTAAATTAAGTAATGTTTGTTTTGCAGAGACTTTTGATGATGCGGTAGAGGAGAGGGTAATCAACGAAGAGTATAAAATTTGGAAGAAAAACACACCTTTCCTGTATGATCTGGTTATGACACATGCTCTGGAATGGCCATCCCTTACAGCCCAGTGGCTTCCTGATGTAACACGTCCAGAGGGTAAAGATTACTCCATCCACAGGCTTATACTTGGCACACATACCTCCGATGAGCAAAATCATCTTCTCATAGCAAGTGTACAACTTCCAAATGAAGATGCCCAGTTTGATGCATCTCATTATGACAATGAAAAAGGAGGTATGTTTTCACTGCAAATATTGCTTAAACATCATATGTTTCATCTTAGTAATGTCATCTGGATTCATATGCTAGTGATGAAACTATTATTATATCTTTATATACTTTTCATAATAGGGTTTCCTTCATTTTTATGATTTTATTTGTGTGTAAGTTATTTTTCAATTATTATTATATTTAGTTAATGATTCCTAGTATATTACTACACTCAACATTTTATAGTATGGTTATCTATAACATGTATAATGCCAATCATTTCATATTTTCCTCTGCATATATAATAGTTTTTATATAAATATATTTATATTAACAATGATTTTCTATCATTTAAACTGTTTGAATAGTATTCATTATTAGATATTTATTTGGAGGTACATTTCTAAAAGCTTTTTCATTTCTATCAATGAATAATATTTTTTTTAATCTGCTGCAGTAGATGAACTTACAAATTTATCAATGTAGGAATTCAATTTTATCCTTGTTAGATCAGGTAAATTTATTCCGTAGCATATGGTTTGTTCACTTTCGAATTGTACTGTGTTAATTTTAAATTACATGCTCCTAAACTATTGTTTATATCTATCTTTTGCTTAACAACGTGATAACGAATCATGGCACCTTTTTATTCAATTTAAACTTGTCCTCATTACTTAATTTCAACAATGTGAATAATATTTTGATAGCTTAATTATTTATTTGTCTTTCTGTGACCATCTCTGCAAAAAGTTAGTAAATTTTTGATGGTACTAAACTTTTTAACTATTTTTTCGTGAATATTGACCTTATTTATTAATGGAAAATTAGAGTGCGCATATCACAATAAAATATTGTGACACTAACTGCACTCTATTCTGATTTCACAGTGGAAATCCATAAAATAGTTATTAATTTAATTTTTTTGAAATGTTACTGAATGTCTTGTTCTGAAATCAACCGATATTTTTCTGATAACATGATTTTTATCCAAATTCTTAATTTTATTGTAAATACCTTCAATATTTGAATTTAATAAAATATTTCAGCTCAATTTTAATTTAATTATATTTAATACAATGTATCTATCGACTTGGAACAGTATGAATTGATAAAAATCTTAAAAGTACTTTTGTTTTCTAACTATTTGATGATTGTTAGCTAATATTGTGGCTGATGATAAAATTGAAAGAAAAAAAAAATTACATTTGATAGATTCAAAAGCCTCAAATTAATTGTGAAACTCGACATTTTGTCAAATCCTATTATCTGAACTCCGTTAATTTCTTTTTTTTAAATCTGAATACTATCAATTTGTAATATTATATGCAATTAATTTGCATGTTAAATTTAAAAATGGTTAGTGTGAAAATTTGATTAGAAAAAAGTTTCATTAAAGCTGGATTTACCCATGTCCGTTATCATGTTACATCAAATTGTTTTATCTAAATTACACTGAAACAGTTAAATTTTTTAGTGAACCCTTGAACTGGAACAACTCTAAGACGCTGCTAACAACTATACGTGTTTGCAAAAATGTTTATTTTGTTTTTGCAATTTTTTATCTTTGTTATTGCACTGTTTTATTTTTGGTAATGTTCAATAAATAAACTTCGAGTTTTAATAATTAAGATATTTCGATTTATCAGCCCCCTGTATCTCGGTTAATAGATTAACAACTTAAATCTATGTATGCATTATGGAGTATGTTAAATAAAATAAGCCAAAGGAAAAGGTTTAGTGTATTCTATATAATTCAGATGGATTTTAGTCCCAGAATGGTTCTATTAAGTGGACATTCTTTTATTTTGTTTCTTAATTAGCTATTTCTACCATACAGGGAAGGGGAGCTATCTTACAACTAACCAACTTATTTTAGCCAAATTGGGAAGTGTGAGATTCATTTTCTCTCTCGCAAAATAAATTTCAACCCTTTCAGGCCCGATTTCGAACTAGTGCTGCTAAATTTAAATCAGCAGCTCATAAACATTTCCATTTCTTTGCCACAACATCCATAGCATACGTTTGTGATATCAAGTTCTCAAATACTACTCTAGATTGCCTCATTATTTATTATCTATTATGCGAAAGGTTAATATACTTAACTTTCCCAAATATTTTGATTGTATTCATTCATTTTATACTTCTTAAGGTTATTTCCAGTTTCATTCAATCTGAGTAAATATTTCGAAGGTGTAGATGAAATTTTAGGAAGGTAAATACATGCTTCCTCCCTGGAGAAAAAAATCCAGAATTACTGATTTGTAGAGTTAGTTTTTATATTCTCTCCTTTCCCTAAGAGATTCTACACTTTATTAATAAAATTGTTCATGTTAATCATATGGCAGTCTCTTTTTTTTATTTTACATCTTGGAAAAGCTTTCAGTGTCCTTCAACTTATTCATCTCTTTAAAATTGAAATTCAGCATTCAATTATATCATTAACAATTTATGATTTTCACTTTTTATTTAGTATAAAAATATATATATATATATATATATATATATATATATATATATATATATATATATATATATATATATAATAAAACAGATATAATTAAAAAAAGATATTTGAAATTTTAAAAGATCAAAATAGTGAAAAAAAAACTATTTTGTTCCAAGCCAACGTTTCGACTCAACTTTGCTGGTTTTCTTCAGGGGTGTGTATGCAAAATGGAGTTTCGGTTGAAAACAAAAAAATATGAAAAACATAAAATGGTTATTTCAACTGAAACTGCATGTTGCATACACACCCCTGAAAAGGACCTGCAAAGTTAGGTCGAAACGTTGGCTTGAAATAAAATAGTTTTTCACTGGTTTAGTCTCTTTATGGCTAATCTCCATCTCTTCCTCAAAAATATACAGCGATCAACCATCAAGTATTCAATAAAAAAAGGAATATATATTTTTGTTCAACTGGAGATATTTATTCTTACTAAGTTTTGTTTTTTTATTTGATTTTCGAAATATTTATTTTAGGTATAAATTTTTTCTGTTTTTAGAAGAAAAAACATCAAGTTTTTTACTGACAAAAAGAAAATGTTATCTTACAAGAAGGAAATTTAATAAATTAAAAATAAGACAAAGCAGTTCATAAAGATGTGTTTCAAAATGTCCAAAAAGGCTGAAATGTTACATATATGGATAAATAATGTAACCAGATATAAGCTTTTTATTGTTAATAAAGAAGTTTCATAGTTTTTGTATCTTTTGAGATGAAAAATGGGTCCTAATTAGTTGATTATTAGTTAATTACCTTTTTATAAATTAAAATTAACAATTTATCTATATAATATAATCTCTCAACTGTCATGCAAACTAATGCCAACTATATTATTAAAAAAAAAAGGTTTATTTCTAAACTAGTTGGCCCATGCGAATAATTCGCAGAAAAATTTGATTAGTGAAGAAATAGTAAAACAATTTGGTAATAAGTAGATCCTATGTATTATGTAAGGAAGAAATTAATATTTTTTTCTTGGTCGATTACAATATTCCATTTAACATAATAGACCAAAATATTTGTACAAATTACTTTGCTAGGACCTATTTTTTAATGCTGAATGGAAAGATGGACTGTATCTTTGTTAATAATTGTCTGATTTTTTTTGTTTTTTGTTTTGTAGGTAATTTAGTAATCTTTCTAATAATCATGGGTACAATCAAGAAAAAATGCATACTTTTTGAGTTATTCGCAAATAAAGTTTTTTCCTTCATAAGTTTTTTTCCAAAAATTTCGGGGGAGATAGGACTATTTTTCGCATGTAAAGTAGAAGAATATCTTCAAAATGAGTGGTTAATCATTGGATTCGATGAAGAATTGACCAAATTATGGCGTGCCGACAACTTTTAGAAATAATATATAGGATAACTTGTGAAACACAACCTTTTTTATCTTAGTCATTTGTAATTGGAGATGTATTAACAAAACAGTAGAAGGCATCACTGCCGTTAAAGACGGTCTTATGAGTAATGTCACCACACAAAAATTAAAGGAAGATGTAGTTATCATCTGCTTGAGCCAGGTAAGGTCAAGAGGAACTTGTCTGCGGAATAATAATGGCCTCCAACATCTCAGCTGACTTTTAAAGAAACAATAAAAAAATTATTAATAATTGACTTGATAATATTAATATGATAATATTATAAGTAAGTTCGGAAGTATGTTTAAATATCCATATACTGTATATATATAAAATATACTTTCATTATAATGTGTTTTTAGTGATGATACATTCTCTAACCAACGTTTCAGAGATCTTCATCACCAGAGTTCCATTCTAAGAGAACAATTTTACTAAATCACTATCAATAATATAAAGTTTAAAACCACTGCTCACACTACATTTTTTAAACACTTTTAATAATTATTTCACTTTTTTATTATCATTTCCACTTATAAAATCTATGAAAATATTTAGTCGTAATAAATAAAATAAATTACTTCTTTTTTTAAATTTTCATAAGTAAGAGTGATGGACGTAGCTAAGAAACTTTTTGCCTTATGGTGCCGTAATTATTATAGTTATAAACTTCTCCGTTTGACGTTTAGAGTCTCTAAGTTCTCCTTTTTCTATTTAACACTTGAAAATTGAAAAAATATAAAGTTATTCAAGTATAATCTCCATTAAAAAAAAAAAAACACTTTTTTGGACTAGTGATGGAAACACCGAAATTCATTGGTTCTAGTAATGGACAGGGGTTCCGTAATGGACATACCTCAGAAAAATTCTAAAATCTTTATTTAACTATAAAGATAATATAAATGTTCAACTTACTCTTAGCTGAACTGTTAGTAGGAAGGTATGAAACACACTGATCTGAAGAGCACTATAGAAATAACTATGATAGCCATTTTAAAATTTTCTTTTGGGATCTTTATTCGAATAGTTGTCAATAGAGAGCATTGTTCTTCAATCTAGAAAAAGCTGAAATCTTTAAATCAAGAAGGAAGCTTATTATTTGCATTTAAAGTCCGACCTGTCCATAACTGGTGTGTTCACCCTATAGGATATTGTTATAAAAAAATTGTATTTTATTTATTATGACTTATTATTTTTATATTGATTTTATAAATGGGAATAATCAATACTAATATGAGATAATTATTAAAGGTAATAATTACAACTTAAAAAACAAAAATATTATTTGGGTTGTGGTTTTAGGATTCATATTATTAATAGTGATTGATTTTAATTGTTTTCTTAGAACAGAATCCTAATGATGGAGGAAATCTTTGAAAAGTAAGTTTAAGAATGTTTTATTAAAGTTGGTATACAGGGTTTTTTTTTTTTCACTACATATATATAGATATCTAAGTTTAATATATGTACATTTATTTGATAAATTGTATGCTTGTTGTTATTAAATAGTAATAAATAATTATTTAATATTTTTTTTAATGATTTGTAAATCTGTAAAACAACACGTGTATTTTATGTCAGTTATATCTTTAGAATTTGGAGGATTTGGTTCAGTGTCTGGGAAAATAGAGATTGAAATTAAAATAAATCATGAAGGAGAAGTTAACAGGGCGAGGTATATGCCCCAGAATCCGTGTGTCATTGCGACCAAAACTCCTTCTAGCGATGTACTTGTTTTCGATTACACTAAGCATCCCTCCAAACCCGATCCAACGGGAGACTGCCATCCTGACCTCAGGTAAAAATATTTTCATTTTCGTATTTTAAATATTTTTTAAGTTTGCTATCTTAAAAATTTAATTTTATACAAAATTAATAGTGATTAAAATGTTTACATCTCTTAGTTTCTTTAGATTTGCAAAGAAATAAATTTACTCTATAATAAATTATTCAATCAAAACGCTAATATATTAAAAAAAAACAAACAAAGGTTTCTGCTTCAGACCACAGGATAGAAGTAAAATCATCATCAAGGCTAGATTAATGATAAGAAATATAAATTATAAATAATAGCTTTATAAAGAGCTTGAAATGCTGAATATTTCCCCTTGCTTACAGTGTGCAGGTCCGATTTTTAGATTCTATGATGTTTTAATACATATCTTCTATAAAACTCATTATCATTTGGTTTTTGACATTACTTTTTCCCTTTTCGCCTCTAAAATACGTCATCGCATTAAGATACAATTTTGAATAAATGACTCATTACAGAGAAGAAGAATGCCAAACAATTCCCTCTCTTACAGTAAGAAAGTACGATTTTTAGTTTCTGAGATATTTTAATCCATGTCCTCAATAAAACTTGTTAACATTTGGCTTTCGACTCTGTTTTTCTTTTTCGCCTCTTTAACACAGCGTCATGTTAAGATACAATTTTTTATAATAGCTCATTACAAAGATGATGAAATGATGAACATTTCCCCCGCTAATAATATGCAAGTCCAAGATATTTTGTGTTTTGAGATATAATCCACATGCCAAAAAACTTCAATTGTTGGCTCCAGCCGATTTAACCCAAGTGTTACACATCGAAGATCTGACGGCTCAATCTGATTCACTCTCCACAAAAAAAGTGCAAAACGCGCCTAACGAAGTTTTTACTTCTAAAAATTATTGTAAAAACATCATTTAATCTTTTACTTCATCATCAAAATCATTTTTTAATGAAAAAACTTTAAATACATAAAAGAGAAAAGGGGGCAGCTTGATTTAGTATTCGTGTAATGTCTGTTAATAATTCATATTTTTCTTTTCTTGCATTAAAGCCGATCTGAAGGGACTGGGGTTGGACGGCGAGCGGTGGAGGGAGGTGTGTGACGGGCGATTGGTGGTGTCGGCATCGAGCCTTTGGGTTCGCTAAGCCTTATTATTATTATTATTTTCTTTTCTCACTTAATCATATACTTAGATTTTTAAAGATAAGCAACTATAAGATCGTGGGAACAATAAATCAACAGGTTCGGCACAGTTATTAGCATTTTCAGACGATGTAGACATCGTGGGAAGATCGGTGTAAGCAATAAGAGAGATAGTCTCTGCTCTCGAAGTAAAAGCAAGAAGACTTAAGTCTAGAGATTAATCGAGAAGAAACCAAATTTATGTTATCCAAGCAGACCCTAATGCTTGGAGAGAAGGTGCAGTTTGGAAATTACTTATTCGAACAAGTCACTGAATGAATTCACGTACCTGGGATCCCAAGTTGATCTGTGACAATGAAATGGAAGTTTCCACCTTAATAATAGAGCCATAATTTCGAAGATTATCTACTTCTTCAGGAACGAAAATTAAACATGTCTCCCAGAAAAAGCAGGATAAAAAGTTGTTATGCTTATCTATGTATAATTCTAAAAATAAAAAATTTATGGTTGAATATACTCATGATAATTTGAAAGAATTCCGAATTCTCAATTTACAGTAGTTTAAGGTTAAGAACCAGGATATGGGAAATCTTGAAAGGATAGAAATATTAAGCCAACTGCTGCAGAAGATATGAGAAAATTATATTTTTTTATCTTGATTATATCAAATTATAGAGAATTGGTAGGGTAATCTGGAATATCTCCCTCTGCATACTATGGCAAAATTCCATGTTGCACATCAACATGTAGTCTGTCCGGGTTCTTTTTCTTGGTTGTTCTCTTAGGTATAGGGGTAATCTTTTAATTTAATTTTAAAGCATAGTTTAATATTAATTTTTAAATTTAAAAAATGTTGTTATTGTTATTTTATATACTAGTAGGCCCGTGCGAAAAATTCGCACAGCATATTGTTAAGTGATCAAATGCCAAATTAATAAGAAAAGAGAATAATGAAACATATCAAAAGATAAAGAAATCAATTGTTATTTTATCGATAAATACAATCGACAAAGGAAACAAAAATTAATTTAAAACTTCATTAATGTTTGGAACCAACATGTTTACAAATTTCAATAAGCTGTATCTTTTCTGAAAATTGTCCGATTTCGATGATTTTTTTTTTTCCCTTTAGTAGGGAATTCAGAAATCTTTTATACAATCATGGGCATAGGGAAAAGTGGGTACTTTTTTAGTTATTTGCTAATAAAGTTTCTTTTCTTCCATAACTTCTTTGCCTGAATTTTCGGGGTGATTGGACTATTTTCTCGGCCTGAAGGAGAAGGAAGCTTTCAAAATTGGTGGCTCAATCTTGAGATTTGGTGAAGAATGATTATATGGTTTGCCGATCAATAACACCATCGATAAATAATATAAACTCTTCCTCTCTCGATCACAGACGCCTCAAGTCGACTAAATGAGACATGTATTCAATGACAGGAGCTTATATTTGGTACAAAACCGATTTTGAGCCTTGCTTTTGTAATAATATATGTGGGGATATTGTTGACAATTAAATTTATATTTATTTGATAAAAAAAAGAAAAAACTTGTACCACTAACAACCCATGAGGGTCTTGGGTTCAGTACAGTGTGGGGAAATACTGTTACTAGACCACAGGGTTGAAATACGGCTGATGAAAAATTACTAGTCGTCAGCCGGATTTAAACCTGGGACCTCAAGTTCTGGAGGTTAGTGCTCACCCACTGAGCTACCCCACTCCCTTATTAATTTGATAATTGGAATTATATTAATTGTTTGATTTTTATCGAATATAATATTTAATTTATCATTAAGAGTGTTGTAATATCTGTAACGTAGTATAAAAAGGAATGAATTTGTATTTCCATAATATTACTAACAAAAAAAAAGGGCGACAATTCAGAATTATACTCAATGGGACGCCATGTAAGAGAAGTGAAAAGGAAAAAAATAGTGTCAAAAACTGAATGATAACGAGTTTTATGGAATATATTGTAACATCCCTCTTATATTTGACAAATAATAATAATATAACCTCGGAAGTTGGGATACTTCCAAAATAAATAAGAGTTGTTAAATAAAAACAAAATTATAAGAGAATTAATATATTTATTTATCTCAGGTGTGGGTTACTGACAATCAGATCAACTCAGAGAAACTAAAATTAACTTGACTAAAATAACTAATAAACACTGTTTGATTTTAACATAAAGTCAAATATGGATTGGCAAGCTAACCTTTTATAGACAATGTTTCTTCCTTTGTAGCACTGAATTCATTTGTCTTCTAATATTTTCTTATTTTCTGCCCAACACATCTTCCAGAATGGTGACACTATCTTCTACTCAACTCAAGCTCCCTGGCAGATACTTTCTCTTGTACTTCCAAACAACTTCCAAGATGGGAATACTATTACTGGGTTTTACCCACTGGAGCCAGGTCCCTTCTCCTATCCTCTCTTCACTACTACCACAAAACAACTGCCTGCCAAAACAAAAACCTTTGTCCCATCCTCTCTTTGGGATTTTCCTTCTTGGGAAATTACAGAGTAGCCATTTTCTTTTCCCATCACTAGTAGAACTAGATTAGCTTACCTTTTAATTGTTTAGCATTAATTTATTGAATCCTTTTTACTCACTTCCAATAATAATACATTACAATATGAATTTAAATATCTTTGAAACTAAAAATCGGACCTGCATACTGTAAGCGAGAAAAATATTCAGCATTTCATTCTCTTTATAATGAGAGCTATTATTTATAATTTACATTTCATATTATTAATCTCGTCTTGTTGATGTTTTCACTATTATCCTGTGGTCTACAGCACACAACTTAGTTGTTTTTTTATTTTTTTGTATACATTTTTTATGCACCTACCTTAAATGATTGTTTTGTTACCGTAGACTGCGGGGTCATCAGAAAGAAGGGTACGGACTCTCTTGGAATCCAAACCTGAATGGCTATCTTCTTTCTGCCTCAGATGACCATACAATCTGCCTTTGGGATATTAATGCGACTCCGAAAGAGAATCGCATTATCGATGCTAAAACTATCTTCACTGGACACACTGCTGTAGTGGAAGTAAATTCTTTATAATATTATTTAATATTAATGAAAGCTTTTGTCATTAGAATGTTATAATATTATTTAATATTAATGAAAGCTTTTGTCATTAGAATGTTAAAATATTATTTAATATTAATGAAAGCTTTTGTCATTAGAATGTTATAATATTATTTAACACCAATGAAAGCTTTTGTCATTAGAATGTTATAATATTATTTGTAACAATACCAATGAAAGCTTTTATCATTAGAATGTTATAATATTATTTGTAACAATACAAATAAAAGTTTTTGTCATTAGAATGTTATAATATTATCCAATACCAATGAAAGCTTTTATCATTGGAATGTTAATATTTTTTTTATTTTTCAGGATGTTGCTTGGCACCTGTTGCATGAGTCATTGTTTGGTTCTGTGGCTGATGACCAAAAACTAATGATTTGGGATACTAGATCTAACAACACCAGCAAACCATCCCATACCGTTGATGCTCACACTGCTGAAGTCAATTGTTTGTCTTTTAATCCCTATTCCGAATTCATATTAGCGACTGGTAGTGCCGATAAGGTAATTATTATTACTACTTCACTTAATTTTACTTTCACTTATGTATATATGTAATATATAGTAAGGGTAAGTATTGCGATTGAGAAAATTTTTGAATCTGAGTTTTCAACGGAAATACACGTTTTGAGGTACCCTGAGTCGAAATGACCTAGTCCCGAAAAATAGTGTGTTTTTTATATTATCAGTGTAGCTCAAAAAGTCGTACGAAACTGATATTACGTATTTAAGATAGGTATATGCCTCAGATGTGACAGCAACTTTTTCCTCAAAATTGGCTAACCAGAAGTGCCACTTTATATCAACGCTGAAACACATTTTTATAATTTTCTCAAAAACGGCTCTAAAGATTTTGATTAAACACGGTGTATCATTGTATAATGAAGTAATCTTTAATATCAATTAGGTGTTATCCTCATTGATGTCACTTTACAGGGCTTAAATGCCCAATGTTCATATATGTCTTCCTCTAAAGTTCCTTTAATATGGTTTATTTTAAAAAGTTAATCATTTCACATTATTCAGAGTTACGAAAAACTGCTAAATATAACTTTTGAAAGAATTTGATTAGTTAATAATGGAGAAAAAAAAAATGCAGAAAAACCTGCCTTGCTATAGACTGTAGCGCCCGATTTCAATGAAACATTGCTAAAGCATTTCTCGACACCCTTTAAATTTATCTATATAACATACTTCAACGAAACGAAGCTGGAAAAAAAGTTACGAGGGATGGTAAAATTAAATTCTGAATAACTCAAAAAGTATTCACTTTTTTGTCAATATTGTGGTATAAAGTTTCAAAGGTATTTCAATTTCCTAAAAAATAAAAGAAATTTCATCGAAATCGAAGCACTATTAGTGGGGATATTGAGATTTTAAAATATTTCTACTTTCACTTACGTATATATATAATATATAGTAAGGGTAAGTATTCTGTTAAGCGAAGACGTTGAAACTATAAAACTAAATACGACAACGTTAATGAAAGCCGGGAAAGAACTAGGACTCGAAATAAACGTGGATAAAACAAAATATATGGTTAGCTGCAAAAATGGCGATACCACTGGTGATATCGATATAGATGGTAATATGTTTGAACAGGTAGATAAATTTAGGTATCTAGGTTCAACGATAACTAGAAAAAACGAAATTGAAGAAGAGATTAAGGTTAGACTGAAGGCGGGAAATGCTTGTTAGTTTTCTGTGACAAAACTACTTAGTTCGCGCCTCTTGTCCCAGAACTTAAAAATTAGAATCTATAAAACAATTATCTTGCCTACAGTTCTTTATGGATGCGAAACTTGGTCGCTTACATTAAGGGATGAGCAGCATCTTAAGGTTTTTGAAAATAAAGTATTGCGTAGAATATTCGGACCGAAGAAGGATGAGTTAACCGGAGAGTTCAGACGGTTACACAACGCCGAATTGCGTGAGCTGTATCCGGGTAATATAACTGAGGTAATTTCATCGCGGCGAATCAAATGGACTTGTAAAGTTGTTGGGCTTAGTAACGAGAGAATTCCTAAAAGATTAATATTTCCTGTGCCGAATGGTAAGCGTCCGAGGGGTAGACCGAAGCGAAGGTGGGAAGATTGCATTAAAGCCGATCTGAAGGGACTGGGTTTGGACGGCGAACGGTGGAGGGAGGTGTGTAACAAGCGATTGGTGGTGTCGTCATCGAACCTTCGGGTTCGCTAAGCCTTATTATTATTATTATTATTAAGGGTAAGTATTGCGATTGAGAAAATTTTTGAATCTGAGTTTTCAACGGAAATACACGTTTTGAGGTACCCTGAGTCGAAATGACCAAGTCCCGAAAAATGGTCTGTGTGTTTGTATGTTAGCAGTCTAGTTTTTCATATTTATTATCTATGAGGAAGATTTGATTTATATTGGTTTTTAAGTTTTTATTAATGACAGCATCTCTTCCATTGCTAAATATTTATTTATGATCCCCTAGTCCGATGTTTCGGACTTCCGACCCATCTTCGTGGACAATTTATTCTGGTAGTTGCTATCTTATCACATATCATATGTTCCTTAAGTAAATGGAAATTTTTGTAGGAGTAATTGTACACCTCACCAGCTACCAAAAAATTAATATAAACAATGGGCCAATTTTAAGAAGAAAAGTAGGAAATCCTAGTTTTGTTGTTTTTTTTTCTTGTAAGTCCTATTTTTTGTTGAATAGGAAGCGATAACTAAAGAAATATTTAATTTAATTAATACCAATAGTTTCATTGGAAAATAGACAAAATTTATTGTAAGTGAAAGTAACTGTCATTCAAATCATTTAAACAGGACTTTAGAAGGATTAGACAAAAAGGTAAGTTTTGTTTTTTTAAAAAATCAAATTATTCACAATTTTTTTTTTTTTTTATCAACATCCAACTATACTTCAGATACTCCACTTTTAGGGGGAACAATTTCTTTTATAATCTTTGAGTCTTTATTAATTAAATTGAGGTTTATTAGGAAAAAAATTGAGATTCACCTCAAGATTTATAAGAAAAAATATGTTATTTTTATGCTGTCTTGTAATATGGTGTATAAAAAAATGACCGTTTTATCAAATTCAAGATTTCAAAGAACTGTAAATGTTTTAATCCTATTTAATTTGTACCAACCCTTAATTATCCCTTTGAAGCATTCTCTAAGCTTGTTTAGTCCCATTCGACTTCTTTAAAAAAGAAAAGCCTCAGTTTAGTTATTTCTTTCTAAGAAGAAACATGACAGTGTCCTACAAAATTCTCATAATTTTAAGGCATTACTGGAAAATGAATTTCACAGCTGCCAAAGCAACTCGTGAAATTATTAAATATGATGGGGAAGTTGTCCTTGGCCAATACACTGCACGTCATTGGTTTGAAAAAGTTAGCAGTGCAGATATGATGTTAGAAAGGAAGAAGGGCTTTGGGTGATAATTAATCGATATTGATGAGGTTTTGCAGCAAGCTGTTGAGTGGGTGGGGTGGCCGAATGGGCTAACACGTTATGCACAGCACCACCGTTGCCCGGCGACCTGATATATGATAAATGATATAAAAATAGTCCCGGTGCCAAGGCGTCTTTTAAACACCCTCTGGCCTGGGAAAAACCCCGTATAGCCTTAACGGCGAGGAAGGAGAGGACAAAAAGAAAAAAAAAAGTAAGCTGTTGAGTCAAATCTGTCCACAAGTACTAACGAACTTGTCAGAGATTGTGGTGTGTCCAAAGATACTGTTATTCGCCATCTACTCTCCATAGGGAAGGTGAAAAAGAAGCAGTAAACTCGTCCCTCACGAACTTACTCCTTAGCAACCAGCTAAGGTTAGAAATGTGTGAAAATTGATCAAAAAACCCTTCTAATATGAAATTTTACCAGAAGATTGTCATCTCTTATGAAATGTGGGCTTACTGGCGAAATCCGAATACTGGTGATCAATGGCTAGATCGCGATCAAACTGCTTTTCCGGTTGCTACAAGGGAGAAATTTTTTTTTTAAAATCCATGCTTTGCGTTTTTTTTTTTTAATTTTGAAAGCGTTGTTCATCACGAATTTGTTCCTGAAGGATGCTCTATGAATTCTGAACTCTACTGCGAACAACTGGAATGATTGTTCGCGAAGTTGTCAGAATGTTATCCTGCTTTAATTAATTTTATTCTAACGAGATAATGCTCGTCCTCACACTTCCCATTGAACCAAAGAAAAGTTTAAAGAACTTCATGGGCTCGAACTCCTGCCTCATCCACCATATAGTCCAGACCTCGTACCATCGAATTATTACTTATAGTTTGAAGAGGAGAGATTTGAAATAGGATACTGATTTTGCGTGTCGAATAGGGAGGCAGCTTGAATTAAAAAGGATTTGTCAAACGCAGCAGTTTGGTGAGGAGGAGGATAGAGGTAGGATGGGATTGAAAGGAGCATTTGAATTGTAGAATCTGTCAAATATAGGAGGATCGCCGAGTTCTAATGGCCTGGTATAAAGAAGGTAGCAAGGAAATACTGACCGCAGTAGGGCGGGCGTATAAAGCCATTTCAACTCTGTATAAAACTGAGTAATATGCGTATCCCTTCAGATCGTGGAGATAAAGCGTATTGAACAATTCATTAGATGTTTAAAAGTTTAGCTTAAAGTTCTACCCAGAGTCCTTCATACACTATACAGCTGAGTCGAAGTGGGGGAAAACAAGAGATGAATCCGGGGTGGTTTCCAAGAGAGGGTTTGATCGAGGGAAACGCCAAAGTTTTTAACAGTAATGTGGAAGGAGATGGGTGAGTTGCTCAGGAGAAGATTGGGAGGTACTGAAACGTTTGTGTACAATATCCACAAGGATGCAATGTAAAGACAGTTAGGATTTCATTTATGTATTCATCAAGTCCTTTGCCTTGTGAATTTTCATTCTTTATAATAAAGCATTTTTAACCAAATAATCCAGCAACTCAGTCTTTTCTCTTCGCTTTGGCATTTTAAAAATATATCAAAACGTTAGTAGATCAATTAAGAACTCATGAACTGTGTTTACAGTACAAGTATAACCTTACTAATAATTAATAACACTTTAGCAGGTTAGCACAGACAGGTTATTTATCATTCATTCATAATTTGTGCTGACTACTTAGCATGATAGCACATTAAGCATTTACTAGTGTATGAATACCCCTAATTTATTAGAATCAGTTGATCAATTGCATGCCACTAAATATTCAATTTTTTTCAGACGGTTGCACTTTGGGATTTAAGAAATTTGAAACTCAAATTGCACTCATTTGAATCGCACAAGGATGAAATTTTCCAGGTAAATTTTTCAATTGTATAATGTGAAAATAAATTATGAATTTTTTTTTTTTTTTTGTGTGCCAATATATTTTCTTCAAGCTGTGAATAATATATATTTTTGTTTTATTCCTTAATTTAGGTTCAATGGTCTCCTCATAATGAAACAATCTTAGCTTCAAGTGGAACGGATAGAAGGCTCCATGTCTGGGATTTGAGCAAGATTGGAGAAGAACAGTCTGCTGAGGATGCGGAAGATGGTCCTCCCGAATTACTCGTAAGTTATTAGATTATTTTTAAATATACTTCATTCCGATGTTTTTGAGGAGAGGTACCCAACCTATGACCCGTGGGCCAACATGGCCAAGGAGCATCGCCAATCCATGCAACTATAGTTTATTATTCATGAAAGTACTTTAAGTAAGTTTTTTTTATTTTTCTGTTGGCATTACAGACCTTACAGATCTTTTGCCGCCTTAATAAGTTCGCTTCATCTCTGCCTTTCTTCATTTCTTCATCTTCATTTCATTCCAGTTATCCGAATCTGCTCTATTGCATCTTCGTTGATTCTATTTATCTGCTTTTTAGCCTTCTACATAGTCTTTTGTCTTTTATAGAAGGAAGCATTCATTGTTATGTAGAGGCTTTCAGATGGATTTCTATAAGCTACATGCCCTTAACTTCATATCATGGGATATTGATTGACCAGTTTCTATAAGCAGTTCTTTATTGGTCTTTCTTCTCCATGTGTTAGTACTCTGATCTCAAAAGTCACTCCGGTTATCGTTCAGAGAATTTTTCTCTCAAATCTTTCAAAACTTTTTTATAGATTGCTGGTTAGCGTCTAGGTCTTGTAGTCATATATGGCTTTATCATAGCATTGTACACCCTTAATTTAAGATTTTTCGGGATTTCAATGCCTTTAAAAGGGAGAAGAAAGATCTGTTTGGGCTAGTTATATGCTGATCTATTTCTGACTGTTGGTTATTGTTCACTGAGGTTATTGTGTAGCCGAGGTATTTGAATTTTTCTACTCTCGGAAATGATTTTCCTTCAATGCAGATCTTGTTATTTAGGTGAAATTTTCGGCTTATGATCAAATATTTTGTTTTCTCTTTATTTACTTGTAGACCGATCTGCACTGCCTCTCTTATCAGAGGCATAGTGTAGACAGTCCGATTTTCCAAGGCTGTTTAAGTTTCATAATAAGGTGGTTTTTCCCGGGATATGGTTATTAGCTCTGAAAAGGGTTATTAAGTAACTTTATTTTAATTAAGTAATGTTACTTAATAAGTTTTTGTAATAAATCATCAATATAATTATTACTATTGTGAATTAATTGAGGTGTTGACAATGAAAAGGTAGTATGTAAAAAGTCATTTTTCAGTTTTTTTTTTTTTTTTAATAGAAAAAATAGTAATTAACTATACCAATGACTTAAAACGAAAAGTAATTCAAAACTGGAAATGGTTTAGTTTCTATAAAAGGCAGCAGAGAGCACTGATATCAAGAACACTCCACAGTGGCAGGCAAATGGAAATTAAGCCAACCTCGCTATGACACTTCTTCAAGATGTGATCTATTAAAAAATAAAATAAACATTGCAGTGGGACCAGTAAAACTTACTCTTATTTCTCAAAAGGAGTTAGATCTGAGGAAAGCTGAGGAAGCTATTAAACATTTGAATAGTTATGATATTAGTTTTCGTATACCCTTAGTTACTACTTGTAGACTAAGATAAGTTTGAAGGTGAGTAGAGGGGGAGAGAGATGTGCAGTGGCAAATATTTGCCCACCTATCCCCCACTCTTTTGTCTTCTCTACTCATTAAAACACATTTTAAATTTTTTTTTACAAGTAGAAATTCCTTTTATCATTTTTTTTTTTTTCATTTCTTTTCCTATTTCCTACATAGATTCACAGAAAGATTGGCTGTTTACATACTGTGATTCAAGCTAATACAGTACAGTCTAAAATAATACATAATGTGAAAAATTCTTTTTGTTTACATTCAGAAGTAAATGAAGAAGGCTCCTCCCCATTATTGAATATCCGATAACATAGTATCAGATTCTTTTCTATATTTTCCATTTATTTCTTGATTTTTTTTTTTTACGATCCATTTCTTGATAAATTTAGATCTACAGATCCTAGTAATAACATCGAGTTCTGTGAAATCTCATAAATTCATATATATATTTTTCTCATTTTGATTATTTAACCATCCTTTTCATTGTTTTATTTTATTTTTTAATTAAAATCAAATAATTACAGTATAGACAATGGAAATCCAATTCAATACTTTTAACATTATGTGGATTGACTAAAATTTTTAATTAATTAAAAATATGCTTATAGTATTTAAAATAGTATGCTGTACATGTGTCAGTGTCATGTCTAATGGATGTCTTACGAAATCCCTTTTTATTTTTTTTTAAATTTGTTTATGTTGTATTGTAAATTTCATTTAATTCATATTTCTTTCATTATTTCAGTTTATTCACGGAGGACACACTGCAAAGATATCGGACTTCTCGTGGAACCCTAACGAACCTTGGGTCATCTGTTCTGTATCAGAAGATAACATCATGCAGGTGATAACTTATATTCACTCAAATTGCAATAGGCACTAAATTTGTAAGAAAATAATTTAAAATTTTAAAAAAATTATTCTTTGTAACCCTTTAACTGCTAACGACATTTTCATTCCTGTTTTTGCGTTCTGTGTGAAACAACCGTGTGGTAAACCTCCTCTGAATTTATGTTATTTAGATTAGTTAGAAATTAGATCACATGCCGTAGTTGGAGTTAATTCAAAGGAATTTTAACTTGCCGCCCCGGTAGGAAGGTTAGCCACAAACTTTGAAAGGGAAGTGTAAGCCATTCTCTTGGCTCTTGAGAGATTGGTTGAACGGAAAGACAAGAAAGTTGCTTTCTTTGTTTACTCAGAAGCAGCCATTTTATATATCCAAAATGGATGTAATATGAATCCAAATGTCATTCAATTTGGACCGATTAAAAAAAATGGGACAGAAGTCACTTTCCAGTTGATACCAGGCCATTCCGGGTTCCTCGGAAATGAAATGGCCAGAATAGGTTCTGGAATGATCCAACCATATAGCCTGACATATCCTCTGTGCTCTCTTTGGATATTATGACAGGAGACCATCTTGACAAATGCCCTACATTACAGGACATAAGATGTGCTTTTAGTGAAATGGACAACTCTTATGCTCGGAGAGAAAAATTATATTGGACTGCAAGATTACGCATGGCTGATCAAGCAGGTGTTATTCAGGCATGGAGGGGGGAGAAATTAATTTTAGGATTAGTTTAGTTAGTTACATGGCTATATAGAATTAATTTTTTTAGTTAGTACTTAGTACCGTTTTTAGTTTTTTTTTTTTTTTTTTGCTTCCTGATTTTCTTTAAAATGGAGGAACAGTGTTCAGTGGTTTACTTGTGTGAAAGCTGCTGAAAGAAATATAATTTTATTGAATATTTAATAGTTGATCGTTGCATTATAAAGGAAGGAGATGGTCCGGGGCGGCGGTCATAAATAGGCTGAATAGTGGTGAAACAATTTTATTAAAAGCCAACGTTTCGACCCGACTTTGCAGGTCTTCTTCAGGGAGGTGTGTTGAGCTAAGAGTTTCACTTAGAACTGCTAATAAAATAACTTTTATTAAAATAGTTTTACCACTATTTATGACCGGCACCCCGGACCATCTCCTTCCTTTTTAGATATAATTTTAAATAAATATTCGGTGTGAAACCAAGATAGATTGTCGCAATCGTACGGTTTCTATTTGTATTCCCAAATGCTTCAAAGAATACCATAAAAAATTAAATTATACAATAAATATTTAAACATAAAAAAAAAAAATTTTGAACTCTGCAGGTATCAGTCCACAGCCCAAATTAAAAAGGAGAATGGATACAATAAAAAGATAACGTTAACAAATAATTATTGAAGGAAGTTAGTCTACTGTTCTACATATCATGGGTGATAAATATTCAAGACGCAGTTATTATAAAGGTTTTATTATTGCCGACATTTCAACCCAAACAAATGGGTCATCATCAGGGCATGATTCAAGCACCACTTCAGTGCTTTATGATGACTGCGTCCTGAATGTTTATCACCCGCGTTATCAAATAATAGTAAGAGCGGACAACGAGGGCTGGAAAGCAGGTAAAAAGTATGTAGAACGGCCGGTAGCCGTCGTAGCAGGGAAAAGGTTAAAAAGGAGTAAACATGTGTTTATTGAAATGTTTATTTTAGTCTATTTACATTTTAACAAGAGCTAAGGTCCTTTTTACATCAACTATCGCTAGCCTTATTTCGGATGTCATATAAGTTTTGATCTGTTTCGCACTCTCAACAATGTTAAGTGATGATTTTATTTGCCAGAATCATAGGATTGAATGTAAAAAGAAATCATAAACAAAATACTCATTATTGCCAATCCTGATTGATTTATTTTTAATTAATTAACTGATTTATTCATCATTTAACATTAAGTAGCATAGCATATATTTAAAATCAGTTCAAGCATTAAAACTATACGTTTTCTTTTTTTTGAAATTTTATTTTGTAGACAAACAGGCCAGTGGGAGTTTCAATGAAAAACTTAAAAACATTACCATTCCTAGAATATGAATTGGACTAGTAGTTGCCGGAAATATATCACTCGTACGATAACAGCTTGCCGTGTTTTCCCATTCATTGTTTTTATTTCTTTATTTGTAAGACCAATAATTAACAATTATGTAATAGTTTAAAAAAAAGTGTATATTCATTTTTTAAAATAAACAATACACGTAAAAATTAAAAAAACACTTTGGAAAAAAAAATTGGTCCCTCGGAAATCCAGTTAATTGAGCCCCGGATAAGGGTGACCTTACTATATAGTATGTATTTGTAATAATGGTCGTCTTAACTTCCATATACACGAGCTTTAATATACAACCATGTGAAAACTTCATGTATCCACTTTATCAACCTAACATATGTTTTATTAATAAATAATTAAAATCAAAACATTTATTATTGATGTATACAATTTAGATGAACAGACTATAAAAAGCCCTATGAAATTACTAAATAAACTATAGACCATAGATAATTAATAAAACTTAATCTAAGGAGTAATCTAAACTTCACTATTTCTAACTAAACAACAAGAACTTACGGACTAACCTAAAGCTGATATAAAATTTACTAACTAATATAAATCTAAATAATGTACAAAAATACCAAAGACTTCATCCATTTAAGTCCGCTTCTTCCAGCAGTTACAGAGATAGAGAGAGAAGTTAGAACTAACGTTTCCTCCAACACACTTAGGTCTCTTCACCTTTTTCAATCTCCTAAAAACATCTGACTCTCCCTCTCTCTCTTTACACTGCCTTAATGCGCATTCACTGCCACATAAATTAACTCTTTTGTTTTTTGCACTACATTCATTATTAAACTGGTGTCAGGTGGTGGGGTATTAGATATTTATATTTCAAAAATTATTTTTTATTACAGGTCTGGCAAATGGCAGAAAATATATACAACGATGAAGAACCTGATACACCGGCATCTGATATAGATGCTCCAGGCGCTGCGTCGTAAATACTTGTACCTGTAAAAATATTTTTTAAAATGGATATCCTGACTTTTTAGATAATACGGTCCTTTTTATACTATTTATTACAAAAACAAAAAACTTAAAAATGGTACATAGATAGCTCTGGGGTGTGTGTTCCATTGTTTCATTCAAGGACTGTTGTTGAAAAATTTGTAAAAACTAAGATATTCTTTTTTATTCCATGCAATTGTTATCTGTTTGGGCTATTTTTTTTTCTTTTTAAAATGTTCCTAAAAAAAAGAGAAATTTTTATAAAAAAAACTTATTAGAATAAAACAGTTGGCCCACTCGTTTATATTTCTTTTCATGTTGAAGAACGTTTCTAGTAGTTACTTATATTCTTAATAAATGTTAAGGTTAAATAATTATTGTTATTATTCATGATCCTCATCCTTTCCATATTCTTGATTTATTAAACTGCTATTATTATATGAAATATTCTAGTTTCCTTTAAGATGTAGTATTTTCTAATTTAGGAAGGTGTGTAGTCAGAATTTTCTTATTTAGGTTCAGTCAAAACAAATTTTTTATTCGGATTGTCAATGTTTCGACACAGGGTCATCATCATGGCTAAAAATTAAAAATGATATCAGACAGACATAAGTACCAAAATAACAAAAAAAAAAAAAAAAAAAAAAAAAAAAAAAAAAAAAAAAAAAAATTGAATGATAATGCTGACTATATACCATCCTTCATTAGGGAGGTAATGCGAACCGAGAAAGGGTTGGATCTGGGGACAACATCCGTGCTGGGCTATGCTGATGATCTGGTACTGTTAAGCGAAGACGTTGAAACTATAAAACTAAATACGACAACGTTAATGAAAGCCGGTAAAGAACTAGGACTCGAAATAAACGTGGATAAAACAAAATATATGGTTAGCTGCAAAAATGGCGATACTATTGGTGATATCGATATAGATGGTAATATGTTTGAACAGGTAGATAAATTTAGGTATCTAGGTTCTACGATAACTAGAAAAAACGAAATTGAAGAAGAGATTAAAGTTAGACTGAAGGCGGGGAATGCTTGTTATTTTTCTGTGACAAAACTACTCAGTTCGCGCCTCTTGTCCCGGAACTTAAAAATTAGAATCTATAAAACAATTATCTTGCCTACAGTTCTTTATGGATGCGAAACTTGGCCGCTTACATTAAGGGATGAGCAGCGTCTTAAGGTTTTTGAAAATAAAGTATTGCGTAGAATATTCGGACCGAAGAAGGATGAGTTAACCGGAGAGTTCAGACGGTTACACAACGCCGAATTGCGTGAGCTGTATCCGGGTAATATAATTGAGGTAATTTCATTGCGGCGAATCAAATGGGCTTGTAAAGTTGTTGGGCTTAGTAACGAGAGAATTCCTAAAAGGTTAATATTTGCTGTGCCGAATGGTAAGCGTCCGAGGGGTAGACTGAAGCGAAGGTGGGAAGATTGTATTAAAGCCGATCTGAAGGTACTGGGTTTGGACGGCGAACGGTGGAGGGAGGTGTGTAACAAGCGATTGGTGGTGTCGGCATCGAACCTTCGGGTTCGCTAAGCCTTATTATTATTTATTATTATTATATACCATCCTAGGTAATTTTCGAAAATATAGTCAATAAATGAAAATCCCTAAATGATTTTCTAATCATGTCCATAGAATAACAAATAATTTCTCATAAATTGGGCCAAATAAAAAAAAAAAAATTATTTTAACCCTTTAGTTTTGCAAGACCACCATTACTTTGGCTCATTACAGAGCTCTTCTACCAGGTACCCCATTAGTCATAGATTGTTGCTGAAACCACTAGATTGCGTGAGATATGTATTATTTAGCCGCGGATATTTCTGCTTCCATCTCTTTTTCACCTTTTCTTGTCTTTTGTACAGTATTACAGTTTAGCTCGAAAACTGACGGCAGTTGGTAGTGTTTTGAAGTGATAAAGTTGAAAATGAGTTTTACATTTTTTTTTAAATCTTTAAAAAAAAATTTAGTTTGTTTTTCTATTGAAGTATATGTAATAAAATTTACCATAAAATGAAATGTTTTTTTAATTTTTCCATATCAGAAATTGGTTAATTATAAAAAAAAAGTTCAAATGAAGAATGAAAAAATAATGAATATGTACCAAAAAAATATTAAAACATATCAAAAAATAATGTTAATGTTACAGTATAATGTAAGACAATTAACAAATTATAAAATTAAAGTAATGTAAGACAATTTATAAAGAATAAAATTAAAAGAATGTTTATAAAATTGAACTGTTAATTGAAATATGAGCTGACATCATATTAAAGTAAAATTTATAAGTCAGTTATAAAATAAAACAAACATTTTAATGTGAAAAGTGCAGAAGATGGGAGCAATTCAGTGAATAAATCCCGTGCACACAGAGTAGGATAAACCTTCAGTATCCTGCGCACACGGGACCTGACCTTGATTCAGGCTCCGCACAACTAAAGGGTTAAATCAAAATTATTAATGCAGATTTTAAATGTTAAATACAGTGGCCCTTTGCTAAAACACAGTTCAAAATTAATTAAAACCATCTTCACTTTCATGGGTTGTACCTAAGTCACATGATAGCACCATAAATGGAGTCCTGAAACTGGCCAAATATTTTGGAAAGTTGACCAAATATTCAATTATTTGTTCTACTGCAATGGGAATAGTGAAAATGTTTGTAAAATTTCTTAATTACATCAGTCACATGTGGTATTTTTAGGTCTTTACGAAGCGATTTATTGGTTACATAGAAGGGACAATGAGTGATATTGGAAGATTTGAATTTAATAGTATGTAAGTTTCATCAAACTCATACACGAGTGGCATATGTTCATATGGGTCTGAGTAGCAGGTTGTATATATTAATTTTGTTAGAAAGTGATAGTTTGTTTTTATGGTGTAGAATTCGTATTAGTAGTGATGGTTCAATTTCTTTTTTAATGTAGTCACATGTGATTCCCAGGTCAGTCCTCTGTCCATGGTGAGTCCCACATGTTGTATCTCTTGTGTGATTTGGCAAAAGACAATACATATATGTATATGTTATAAAATAAAAGTGCTTTGTTATTATTACATTTGTTTTTGTGTTTTTGAATTTCATATGAAGATAGGGATTATCAGTGCCTTATCACAATTATCAGTGTTCAGGTTATAAACATTGGCAGATAGCAGCCCATAAATGACCCAACACAGTAATTCATGAATGAACATCACAAGAATGGCAAACATTGCTCTGGATCGATTTGATCATGAAGACCCCTATAGAGACTGTGACCATTTATCAAGCTAGACTTGTAGAAGATTTAAATGAATAAGAGTAAATAGAATACAGAACTGGACCTAAAATACTGCCCTGGTTTACAACGAAAAATCTATCCTCAAGATACGATTTAATGATTAAATAGTAAGTATGCGGAAAGATCGATTTAATTTTACAAAGAAGACCATCATGCCACACTTTATTAAATATCTGTGAGACGTCTAAGAAAGGTGTTGTGAAAAATTCCTTATTTTCTAATTCCACTCCAATTTTATCAATCACTATGTCATTATTGTATGGTAGAGTGTGCAGGTCTAAAGCCCAATTGGTGATTAGGAATAACATTGTTTGCGAGATAAGTTTAGGAAGGAAATAGATGACTCATGAATAAAAACTTCACTTACTTAATTTTACCTAAATATGGAATCTAACCATTTATTTTATAAGCAACTTTTATTTTTAATGAAATTCTAACAGCATTGAAGCAAGTATGAAAATAGCAATAAATTCATAATTAATCACAATAGATTTGATATATATACTAGAAATTAGTCTATCAGGAAACCGTCTGACGCCTGCGCAGTGCAGTTTTTCCGTACCACAAAGCATACTGCGCAGGCGGCTAAGAGTTTGATAATCTTATTTGTGTTTGGAACAGACCTAGTACTGTTCTAAACCATACAAAATATTGTTTTTAATTTTAAATTAAATAACGCTTTCCGAGACATAGTTAACCCTCTTATTTTTTATTTATTTTTTTCAATAGTTACACCCTTCTTCCAAAACTCACCTCATAAAGCTTTATTCCTTTATGTTAAATTATCTTCTCAATATATGTGATCATATTCAACAACGCAAAAGGCGAACAATGCTACGTAGCTGAATGAAACTCAAACTAATAATAGATGAAAAGAAAAAGATGTTGTCTATGATGTAACAAATCCAGTTAAATAAACGTAGCTTCTTATTTCAAATAGAACTGTAATCAAAGGTGGTAAATTAGAGGATAAAGTGAGGTGATGTATCATTTGGAATTTCCAGGGTTCTTTTTGAAATTATTTCCAACATATTCTCAGAACTTCTTACTAGCACAGCTCCAAATAATAATATAATCGTTTTGAATTCCCGCGTTGTCAGATATTTCTGTCAACAATGGGGTGTCCAACAGAATGCACTTACGTCACCGTTGATGTAGTGATACCGTTTGCAAAAGTTAAGTATCAATTACATGACTTCACTCCAGAGGTTTTTTTTTTGGGGGGGGGACGATATTCTCGACTCCTCTCTATTTCTATTGGGGAAGCGATTCCCACCTTCCGAAGTCTGCGCTTGTTTGTACTGTACAACAGTAATAACCCAGTAACCTCGCACATCGTAAATTGCGTAGAAGGTTTCTTTTTATTATCTTGTATGGGATATGAGTTGCAAAATCCAAGTTTCGACCTCCCTCTCTTCCCCCGGATCACTTTCGAATATCGCCAAAACAACTATTTCTTTATTAGGTTTTCCTCCATTTTATCCATGAAGGAGCATGTTTTCTTCAAAAAACATTCCATACATTTTTTAATTAGATTAAATATGCTACAATTTAACACCAGAACAAGCTAAGTAAATCAAATAGTTTCCGAGATACAGATTTTCAAATTTTAGAAAATGTTATTTTTCATTTATGTCATACGCAATTGCCTTTTATCTTCAATCGTCTGTCTAATATGAGTCAGCTAAGTAAATAAAATAGCTTAAACTTTTCAAGTTCGAAAATTTTCTAAAATTTGAAAACCTGTATCTCATAAACTATTTGATTTACTGAGCCTGTTCTGGTGTTAAATTGTAGTATATTTAATCTATTTTAAAAATGTATAGAATGTGTTTTGTCGAAAATTGGTTCATTCATGGATAAAATGGAGAAAACCGAAAATAAAATGTGAAAATATAGGAGTTTTGGGAATATTCAAAAGTTATCCGAGATCGAAAACTTGGATTTTGCATCTCAGACAGATCCCATACAAGAAAAATAAAATCTTCTAGCCCCATTCGGTGCAACTTTGATCCCCCTTGAAATTTTTGACGAGTGAGCCTCAAATCAATCCATCAAATTTTTATGCTTGATAATTTGTACTGTTGGTTTGATAATAAATTATCAAATAAAATTGTTTTTAAAAATTTCAGTAATATTTTCCAAATCCACTTAACAACAATGTTCTTTATAGGCACAACGCTTAGTCTAGATGTGCATCACCATCATATTTACCACGCAGGAATGAAACTCAAGGGTTGTCCCCTTTGTCAATAGGTTTTCATGTTTTAGTTTTGAGTATCCGATTCGTAATTTTGTTAGGCTGATCTCTTTTATTCTTTTCAACTGCAGGTGCACTCGATTTTTATCTAAAAAGGGCTGGAAATTGTAATTTTTCATAAGAATCAGAATCCATGACAACAGTGCCATCAACATTTCCTATCGCAGGTATAAGGTTGAGCTCAAAGGGAAACTGAAAAACTGTACATTTGAGCAATAGCGGATCCAGGATTTAATTTTGGGGGGGTTTCACTCCGAAACATTTCTTTCATATATATATATATATATGAAAGAAATGTTTCGGACTGAAGCCCCTTCCCCCAAAAAAATTAAATCCTAGTTCCACTATATATATATATATATATATATATATATATATATATATATATATATATAACGTAATTAATATTATTTTAGTTTATAAAACAGATATTAATATGACTCATTTCCAGAGAAGTATATACCATTTTATTTACCTCTAAGAATCAGTAAATATATAAAAAAAAATGTTAAATTGCAAATATTAAATAAAAAAATTCAAGATATTCTGCAAGTATTTTGGAATTAAGTTTTATTATTATAATTATAAAATTTTTATAATAAAGGCCTTCTTAAGCGACCTCAGTATAGAATAAAGGAAGTTAAATTTAAATCAATAAATAATGGTAAATAAAAAAATAATAATAAATTAATTTTTTTTTTACAATTAAATTATTGTATTAATATTTGTTCGTTAATACGATCAATATAATGTAACAAAAACGTTATTATATCACTATAACTAAGCCATTTATGTGTACTGAATGGTGTGGTAGAGGCCTGTAGGCACCCACGCCAGTACCGCTTTTCTGCCGCTTAAGTGCATTTTCTACGGAACTACTTCAAATATTTTAAAAAGTAATCAGTGGTTTAGTAAGAGAAATGGATTCTCCAGATATTTTATTTCAGCACGTTTTGCATTATTGTTGACCGTTTAATTACAAACGACGCCTGATTTTCAACTTGAAAATTTTTTTGGAAAAAAAATTGACTACCGATTTTTTTTAATGTCTAAGTCAATTAGTTTTCAGTATTTTTTCATGTTTTATTATTTTCTGACTATCCAGCTTTAAGAAAAGACAAACTATGATGAAATTAAGCCAAATGCTGATTCTCAGTAACAAAAAAACTAACTAAAGTCAAAGTCGTCAATCCGCCATCTTTGGACGCCATTTTGGGGTAGTTCGTTTACTTTTTTTTGTGGGAACATTGAGTTTTTTTTTAATAAATTGTCACAAGGAACACAACGATATGCAATTTACAGGGATGTGGGGAGGGGGGGGGGGAGGGAAAGGGGGTGCACGGTAAGGGGGTCTGGCCAACCGTGTAGAACTATCTATTTGAAATGGTGTTTAAGTGATTCTTGAAGTCCTATTAAATGTAATTACACGAACAGGAATATTTTAAGAGACAGTTTTTAATATTTTTTCTATAAAACATGGTTATATTTTAGCGTTTTGGGGGGGGGGGGGGGGGAGGACTTCAGCCCGAAAGGCCTCCTCCCGTAAATCCGCCTGTGCATTTGAGGGCTTTAAAAGGCGGTTATTTAATCTTAAAAATCGTCAATAGTTATCTTTTACTACACAAAAATCAGAGTTTAGGAAAGTAGGTTTCGAAATCGGTACGTGTAAAAATGATAATTAATATTTTATAACACTTCTTTTAAAAACAATATTAGAAGCAATAATACATAAATTGCAATAGGCTGTTTCATTGTAAATAATGGTCCGATTCCCATGTTGTTGTTTTTTTCGTTTTGTAGAGAATTCAGCAAATTTTCAAATAATAATGGGTCTAATTTAGAAAAAAATGTATACTTTTTAAGTAATTCGCAAATAAATTTTCTTCTATCATATCACACTGAAACGACAAGAAACAGCTCGACGTTTCCGATTACTTCAGCACTTACTAGACAAACGTTCTAAACTTTCAGTTAATTACAAAAGACTCATATACATGACTATAATAAGGCCTATTTGGACTTACGGAGTTGAGCTATGGGGCTCCACTAAACCATCGAATTCCTATCGCATCCAATCCTTACAAACTTCGTAAAATCTCAATGCTCCCTACTTTGTTACAAATAAAACCATCCAATGACTTAATGTTTCTTATGTTTCAGACCTGGCCCAATCCAGATACCTATCCTTCCATAATAAACTTCAGAATCATCCCAATCCTCTCGTTTCTAACCTTGCTGCTTCTTCAATTCCTGCGAACCCTCCGAGGCGTCTGAAAAGAAGATGGCCCTGTGATCTCCTAATGTAGACATATCATTAGAGTGCTACACTAGCGGATCCAGAATTTAATTTTGGGTGGGGGAGGCTTCAGCCCGAAACCTTTTTTTTTTTCATAAAAATAACGCTAATTACTTTGGAAAAACAGAAAGACACTAACTACCTATATGAAATGGTGTTTAAGTTATTCCTTAAGTACTTTTAAATGTAGTTACACGAACAATAATAACAATAAAGTAACACGAACCTTTAAGAGGTATTTTTTAAATTTTTTCCCATAAAACATGGTTATATTTTTCCATTTTTTGGGGGGGGGGGACCTTCAGCTCGAAAGCCCCCTCTCCCCGTAGATTCGTCCGTCGATCGCTAACATTTGGTAGTTTCTCAACAAGCGTTTTCACGTCATTATATCCATATGTTCAAATTTACTAAATGTATTTCTTTAATACAGTTGTAAATATTATTAAGAAATAAAAAAAAAAATTCTTTACATTGACAACTTTTTTCCTGAAATTTCGGGTGGATGTTATTACGGTTCGTCACTGCTATATTTAATACCCTTTCGTTTGATACTTCATTAATCAAAATAGATGGCTTCTAAGAGCCTGAAAAGGATCGTTACAGCAAAAAACTGACGTATTATATTATATAAGATTTAATTGATTTATACAGTGGCTTAATAATATTAAGTGGTATAATTAAGTTAAGTATTAAGTAGTTAATAATATTATTAAGCCACTGTATTGATTTATATGTGGCGGCGACACCTATCGGCAGACAGAGTAACCACGTAGCGAAGATGGCGCTACCTGTAAAGAACTGGAGACTGGTTTTAGCTCCAATTTCAATCGGGTTTCAGTGCGATCGGGTGGTGCTAAAATGTTGTTCGGCCGAGACGTCTGCTTTTTGGCTGTCTTCTTTGTTTTAGCTGTTGATTCTAGGCCTCAACAAGGTAAAACAATGTACATTAACATTTATAATAGTTATAAAGAAGATTAATGAAGAAAAACTAAATGTTCTTATCTGAACAATTTGTTTTTTCTTCCATAGTTACATGGAAAAGATTCCTCTTTAAATTTATTAATACAAATATATTATGCTATTAAATCACACGACATTTATGTAATATTTAATATAACTCTATGTGTAAATATTATTAAATTTACTTTATATCTTACAAACACACACAAACAAAAAATGAAAGATAAAATTATTGAAGGAATTGAAATTGTTCATTGACATTTAAACTATTTGTAAGAATTCGTTTACCAACAACCTGTTTTAATTTGTAAGCTAGAATCATTTATAAGAAATAATTAATAAATTATGGCTGAGTGTTGCAATCATAGTAAAAAAAATAAATTTTTTTATTTAATTTTTCTGCAATCCTCAACCAGTTTCCTTAACATATTATCTACAATATTAAATATTTCTCCTTCAGTAATAAATAAATTAGGGATTACAAAAAAAAAAAGTAATATATCAAATACATACATCTTTATTTAAGTACAGATATTAATAAGGAAAACATATACTGACAATATAGTATTTTGGTTTTAATTTAAATTAAATATATATTCTAAGGAAATTATTTAAAATGTAATTACCTAATAATACAAAATGTAGTTTTATAATAGATAAATCAAGCAACAACATTTTTAAAATATACGTTGTCGTTAAATTTAGTTTGCTTAAAAGTTTATTTTAATTCATAAAACATTAGTCAATAATTCTCGCTGCAAATATACTGCATAGCTCAAAAAATATTCCTATTTTTTATTTATTTAAAAATAATTATATATTTTAATCGTTAATTAGTAATTAACAAATTTATTATTCATAATATATTAGTAAACATTAGATTGTCAAAAACACATTATTTTAATTCATTCGTTTCGAAAACGGGTGACAAAAAATACCGCGAAATATTTAAATAATAATTATTAAACCGTTTATTATGATTTATTTTAATTTTATATTTATCATACATAAATTATTATGGCGAAGTAAATTTTGTGTAATAATTTCAGTGCTTTAATTTAATTGTATAATTTATTCTGGCGGTTGAACGTGATCTCGGTCAAATCCCCTCCAGTGCTTTCCCTAAATAGGACTGAACCCAAGATCCTTCATGGGTTGTAGTGGTACAGGTTTTTTTTAAAAATATAATTTATAAGGATTATTTTATTTATAAACAATGAACAATGAACTCCAAAAAAATAAAATAAATAAATAATATATATATATATATATATATATATATATATATATATATATATATATATATATATATATATATATATATATATATATATATATATATAATTATTATTATTACTCAATCAGATAAAATTTCCGGTTTTCAGTTTTTAACGGATCTAAACACAGCTCCTAGATTCCCAAAAACCAATTTTCGACCGTTGGTCTCGTTTAAAATCTGTGACACGATTAAATCTATTTTATAAATTTATTTATTATTATTATTATTTTTTTTTTTGTAGGGTTAAAGGGTGTAGAATTTAGTGCAAACTATTTTAACGATTTTTAAATAACTTGTCTAAACTCGTCGCCTTAAACTCTTTTACATTTCATATTCATTGAATGTTTAATTTTTTTTTTTTTTAAGTTTAAAAATAAAACTTGATTTAACAATAATTTCCTCAAATAAATAGTACATAATATCTACTAATTAAACTCGTAAATGTACTAATTAACAATCTATATAAAAAACGTGTTATTTTTGTTAATCTATTTTATTAATTATTATTCGTGTCATAACAAATATTTTTAATACATTTGTATTAGGCGATATAAAAATGTACTGCAAATAACAATTTTAAAAATAGCATGAACTACTTTTAATGTCGTATTTTTATTTTATACTAAAATATTGACTTTCACAAATCATTGTTTTAATCTAATATTAAATTGATGATAATGTAATATATTTTTTTTAAATGTCCTGAATACTTTTAGCGATTTATATATATATATATATATATATATATATATATTTTTTTTAACTTATTTATTGAAAAATATTACAATCTGTCTCTAGGACATTTATAATAGAGTTCACAGATCACATTCACACTCTATGTACAATAAATAAAATAAATTATACAGAAAAATAATATATATACAATAAATAAGAATAAAATAACCTAAAAATAAATAAATAAAAAGAACACACCTATATACAGATTTATATTTAGAATAATATTTATAAGAATAAAATTGCTTTCTTAATTATTATTTCAATATTAATTTTAAAACGCTGACTTTTAATAATATATTTTTTTTTATAAATTATGTTGTTATTAAATTTAATTAAAAAAAAAAAAATCTGGTGCGCGCATTAATAAGTATTTTCAGACAAAGGGGAAATGAAAGTAAAAATTATAGACTATATTTATTTAAATTTCATTGTGGGTATTTTTATTTGTTTAATCACCCTTTTAATAAAAATTTTAATTTTTATATCACTGTATTTTGCACAATTAAATATTAAATAATACCAACAGTAACTTTTATGAAAACCACATATGTATATTTATATAGTATTGTCGGAGTCCCTATTATATTAAGCTCATGTTACGTATAGAAGCTCATGGCCGTGAATCGATTATTTTTAATCGAATTAAAAAACATCAAAGATAAGATTAAATTTTTATTTATAAAACAAGCATGACTGTTAAATAAAAAATTATAATTAATTAATGATTATGTGAGAGAAATAATTATCGATGTCATACTCTGTTGGAAACTATCGTTTTATATTTTATTCACAGTTGAATGGTAAGGGAAAAAAACAAGATAAATCATTTTTTTTTTTATTCATTTATTGGCACAAATACTGTATTAAATTATTTCAGAACGAGAAGCTGCATTGTTTATGTGAATTGTGATAAGGAAAAATAAATTAAGGAAACGATATCTAATGTTTTTTTCGCATTCGAATTCCATAGAAGAACAAAGTTTTTCATATTTAATTCACTTATAGAAATAACTCAATCCCTCCAAAAACTTCACTTACCTCTCTACTTTGAATAGAAATTATTTTCTGGAAATGTTGAGCGATTATAAAATTTTTGAAGTGCTCTTTTAACGCAGCTATAGCTTAAAGCTTTCAGCTAACAAATCATTAAGACAACTAAAATAACAAAAATCCTATTAATTATATCAATAGTAGACAATAAAAACCTCGGTACTCCATTTGTAAGTTGGAGTATGTAAATAAACATAAATGTATCCGTTTACTAAAATGAAATTACGAGATTTTCATTGCCTGCCATAGATAGGTCAAAAGTTGTCACACTAATTTTAAGTGGTTAATGTTTGGATTTCACAAAAGGAAAATTCATCAAATTATTTAATAATTTAATTTTTAAAATGGTTACATGACGATTTTTTAAAAATAAACGGACCTTGATATCTGATTATTTAAAAATAATATCAGATTAAGAATTATTAAATTACAGTAAATGTATTTAAGGTTATAAACATATGCTTTATACATCCATGAAATGATTTTATATTTTACTTCTTCTTTCACACAAGTACTAGGAAATAGTTTTTTTAACAATACAATACCATTTACCATTTAAAATCCACCTAATCAATTAGGTGGATTTTAAATACTTTTTTTTCAAACTTAAAAAAAAGTTTACATTTAGTTAGTAAATTTCATTTACTTGAAAACATGTGATTTCCGTTAAATAATATTAGTTTTGACAAATTATTATTTATAATTTTTCGTCACTCTCCATTACTTTCGACGACTTTCTATATTATATATTGTTTTTTCTAAAATTCTCCACTTTTCAACGATATATTATACGTATACCTTCTGACTAGTATTTCCGAAAATTCATTTTCGACCTAAATAAACATTTTCTCTTTTTTATTCATTTTTCAACCATAAAATTCTTTCAAAAGTTATATTTAGCATTTTTTTGTAACTTCTAATAATGAAAGATAGTTAATTATTTAAAATAAACCAAATTAAAGGTACTTTGAAGGAAGATATTTCCGTATTTCTGAAAGTATTCATTTCATTCCGGAAGTATTTCCGGAGATTCATTTTCAGCCTGGATAAGCATTTTTCTTTTTTTCTCCAATTTACAATTATCATATTCTTTTAAACTTCGTATTTAGCCAATTTTTTAAAGTTACTGTCGATAAAAGTGTTATTTTTTTTTTTAAATAAACCATATTAAAGGTGCTTTAGAGGAAGACGTATATGAACATTGGTCATTTAAGTCCTGTAAAATGATATCAATGAGGATAAGATTTCAATGATATTAAAGACCACTTACAGACACTGTGATTTATTTAATGAACAATTTATATATAATTAATTATCTTTGTCAGTGAAAATTTCTTTTTCCCCTTTATATTTAAATTTACCCTGATAAAGGTCTTAAGTTTATTGTAAGTATAAACATAATCCATATATTGAGAGTCGGTAAGCCGATTTTAAGGAAAAAATACCTATCTTAAATACGTAAAATCAGTTTCGTACGACTTTTCGTTTTTGAGCTAGACTGCTAACATACACACTCACAGACACAGACCATTTTTCAGGACTTGGTTATTTGTACTAAGTGGATCTCAAAACGTGTATTTCCTTTAAAAACTCAGATTCAAAAATTATCACGATCGCATTACTTACACTTACTATATATTACATATATACGCAAGTGAAAGTAAAAAAAACGTTGTATGACCTGTACTCCCAAATGCCAAAATAACGAGGTTATATAGACCAAACGGACCAATGTTTTTTTCGATTTTTTGATCATATTATCCAACGGTTCGAATGAAAAGCAAATGAGTATTCATGAGTTTTTAGTGCCTAATTAAAAAGACAAACTTTGCCGATCTCCATATTGAAAACCCACCTATTCCGAGAATTTTCGTAAATAAATTATTTGTAGGTTACGATGAAAT